TTTTTTTCGGAGCACTAAATCATCAACATGAAGGGCCCCATGACCCCGCAGTCCGAGTTTCAGAACCTCTTTAACTCTCCAGGACTTCAGGGACCCCCAGAATATTTGATTATACCACTCGCAAAAAAAAAAAAAAAAAAAAAAAAAAAAAAAAAAAAAAAAAAAATGAAAGTAATAATAGGAAAAAACCGTCCCCGGGGGTCCGCTATGCTACAGCGCCTCAGCTTATCCGGCCTTGCATCGGTGATGTAAATGATGTAACAAATACATACCAACATTGGGCAGAGTACCAACTTTTCGACCACTCAGAAGGAAGGGAAGCGGGGCACGGGTATCTTTATCAACCAATTGGAGACCTGGATTTTTTTAGGAAAATCACGCGGCATGTGCCCTTACCACACAGAAACACTGAATAAGAAATCAGGGCGTAGGTAAAAAAAAGAACAGAAGAAGGAGAACACTCTTTGATAGTTAATAGAGAGTTTTACCTCAAGCGACCCTATACCCTGAGGAGGGAGGGAGGGGTACAAGTTAACCCCCCCTCCGCCCTAGGTTTCGGTTTTTGACATTGGCATGACGCCCCAGGCATTGAAAACCGTCCAAGCAAGTGCTGACTTTCTAACCTGGAGTAAAAGTAACTAATAATGCAACAAATTGAAAACCCAGGAGGAACAATACAAAATCGCTTAAAGATTCGGGTCAACACCCGAAGCCAGGACACGGGTTCTATCCGCAATTTGCAGTTGTGAGAGCCGGCGCTCCACCTGTTTTTAAAATGCAACGATGCCACTCAGCTCTAAATGTATTGTTGTCTAGTATATATCCATAGTTTGGTTAATTTGAACGTTGGGTTAAAGTTAAAGTAAGAATAATCTATCTGCAAAGGAGGGAATTTGACGAGAGAACTTGTCTGGGTTTTTATTTTCTCGTTTTTTTATTATTTACTCAGGGCGACTGGGAGTTGCTCATTATATTAGGATTCGACGAATTACTGAACTTCGTACGAGACGCGACGCATATTCAGTAAGAGGACGACGTAAAGATTCAATAAACCGTTTTATAGTTTGGCAATTCTTGCTGAAATAAATTGCATTGCGCATACGAAATCTGTCGACAACAGGGAAAATTTAAAAAATCAACGAAGCTACCCTGACATGAACATTTCGGGGGTCTATGCAAAGACGACGACAAAACAAAAAAACATGTACTTCAGTCTTCATGTTCCGAAATTCCAGCGCAAATTTAATTTCTTGGAGGAAAAACCGATGAAAATTATGGCTTTTCTTTGGTTCTGAGTTTTTTTTACCATTCCATTGTCCAAAAAGTCCAAACCATAGGTAACGTTGAATTTTTTTGCCATCCAACAAATAAGAGGAAACGCGGAGATTTTGAAATTTTGCGATTGAGATGCGGTGGCCGACAGAGCACAGGGGAGAATTTCATGAGCCGCCTGCCCTGCGCCGTCCGCTAGTGCATAATTTTAAAAGTCGAAAATTTAAAAAAAAAAAAAAAAAAAAAAAAAAATCATACCATACCTACACGAGTTTCTCCGCCAGGGAGCTCTCCCCGAAAGAAATCGTTCACCACCCGCCCGCCGGGAGAGCCGCGGCATGCTGCTAGGGCGAAGCGCGCACTGACGCCTACAAACCTAAAGGGCTACTTCACGCATTGCGCAATGCTTGAAGTATCTCCTTAGGTTTGTAAGGGGCTACTTCACGCATTGCGCAATGCTTGAAGTATCCCCTTAGGTTTGTAGGCGTCAGTGCGCGTTTCGAGCTGGCAGCACGCCGCGCCGCAGCGTGCCATAAACTTGCCCACAATAATTGGGCAGGGTGTTAAAATGTAGGCAATTTGACATCAAATTCGAAATTAGCGACACAAGAAATATCAGTTACGAAGCTTCCGTGATCTCTCAGTCATTGTCCGACTTATTTCTTCCTAATCTTGAGTTTTGGACCATAGTACGCCGCGAGCGGCGGCGCTTATAAAATTCTCCCCTGTGCTCAATCGTGCGGCGGCGTGGCGTGCTTTGCGATATATCGATTGATCTGCCATTCAAACCTATGGAAAAGGATCGATAAACAGGGTGTTTGCAACGAACACCTTAATAATCGGTTCTTTACCATAGCTTCAAACGGGGAGATATCGATACTCGACCATTCACGCCTCACCACTAGTTGCGATTGAGATGCGTGTTTATGGAGTTTGGCAATCTTACTGGGAATTCGGTCGGCTGATCTGGACATTACGAACGGCATATCGCACCTCAGAACTTTTGCTCATAGTCTAACACATGCCACCATTTACTCCTAAAACTATTACCTATATCAAATAAGGTAGAGTCTGCTTTTTCAAAACTTAGGACGGACCATATTGATAGACGTTCCTGTAGCTAAACGACGACAAATTGATTAACTTTAGCTCCAGAACGGCATCAGTGTAGACCACTTGCGTATTCATTTATTCTCGAACACATTTCCGTTCAAAAAATGGGCAATCTTTGGTGTGTTTTTTGCTTTATCCTGCTGCACCAGGGTTCGTGACAATAGAGACCAAATGAGGCCCTACGCGCTCGCGGCTCAAGAAGAAAAATACTCTCTCCTCCTCTCTTCTCTTTAATGCCGTTGTTTTTCGGATTTTTTCTCTCGTTTTTACTCGTCTGGCTAGGAGATGTTGGGCGATGCTACCTCTGCNAAATGTGGGCAATTTGACATCAAATTCGAGATTAGCGACACAAGAAATATCAGTTACGAAGCTTGCGTGATCTCTCAGTCATTGTCCGACTTATTTCTTCCTAATCTTGATTTTTGGACCATAGTACGCCGCGAGCGGCGGCGCTTATAAAATTCTCCCCTGTGCTCAATCGTGCGGCGGCGTGGCGTGCTTTGCGATATATCGATTAATCTGCCATTTAAACCTATGGAAAAGGATCGATAAACAGGGTGTTCGCAACGAACACCTTAATAATCGGTTCTTTACCATAGCTTCAAACGGGGAGATATCGATACTCGACCATTCACGCCACGCCGCTAGTTGCGATTGAGATGCGTGTTTATGGAGTTTGGCAATCTTACTGCGGGCCGATTATTGAAATTTATAGACAAAGCTATAGACAAAGGAGACAAAAGAGATATGGAGAGATCCTATTGGTGGAAGCGAGTGGTTTTAATAGACAAAGGAGGTAGGTAATCGATTAACAAACGGCAACCCACTAGAGACCCGACAGTTAGTCTATCATTTTCTCCCTTCGTCTATAGGAACCGCCCATTTCAACCAATAGGATCGTTCCATACTCCCTATATCTTCTTTGTCTATGACTTTGTCCATCAATTTCAATAATCAGTCCGCAGATCTGGACATTACTAACGGCATATCGCACCTCAGAACTTTTGCTCATAGTCTAACACATGCCACCATTTACTCCTAAAACTACTACCTATATCAAATTAATAAGGTAGAGTCTGCTTTTTCAAAACTTAGGACGGACAATATTGATTGACGTTCCTGTGGCTAAACGACGACAAATTGATTAACTTTAGCTCCAGAACGGCATCAGTGTAGACCACTTGCGTATTCATTTATTCTCGAACACATTTCCGTTCAAAAAATGGGCAATCTTTGGTGTGTTTTTTGCTTTATCCTGCTGCACCAGGGTTCGTGACAATAGAGACCAAATGAGGCCCTACGCGCTCGCGGCTCAAGAAGAAAAATACTCTCTCCTCCTCTCTTCTCTTTAATGCCGTTGTTTTTCGGATTTTTTCTCTCGTTTTTACTCGTCTGGCTAGGAGATGTTGGGCGATGCTACCTCTGCAAAGTTCAGTCAAATTACGGAAAAGCCTAATGTAGTTTCTATTTCCGGCGGAAACTTGACTATCAAACATAGGTAGAATAAGTATAACGACCTTCCTTTTTTTATTATTATAGTTCAGTTACATTTACGCTATCTATTTTGATTGATAACGTGCAAACGGCAGAGGTATGATAATCGGACACTCTAAAATATCTTAAAATTTATTTTTCGGTTTCTTTTCTTACTCGCGTCAGAAAAGAAAAAAAGAAAAATTGGACACCTTTGGCGATAAGGAAGTGCCCCAAATTCTCCTTTGGAGCTGGGGGTTCCCAAAAACCCTCTTCATAGGGTGTCTTCTAGAGCCTCCCCTCTTAGTGAGATATCCCTCTGCCCCCTCTCTCCATCCCTTCATAAAAAGTTCCTAGTTCCGTTCATGGGGCAAGGCATTATCACGAAAAAAATATGCAGAAATAAAATTGGATGCTACTATAAAGAAACTGAGTAAAAATAAAAAAAATCCTTACTGAGAAATAAAAATGAGATTCCACGACAAATAGCCCCCATGTTTTCTAAAAAAAAACTTGGTTCCTTCTCGACGAACTCGATCCGAACAAGCTGCATACCTATTAGGTTGGAACCCTAAATGGGTGCCTCTTAAAATTACCTACAGAGGATTTTCCAATGTTTAAACAGGTGCTTTTGTGCAATGTTGCAAACTCCTCCCTCATGCAACAGGATCTGTTATTGACAGGAAGTCTCTCAGACCTAGCAGAATTTATACCTACCCCATCCCTTCCACCATCCACAGAATTCCATCTTTGATGCTGTCACATTAGCTTGGAAATCGCATTTATCATAAAAAGAAACAATATTTCGATTGACTTCGGATTTCAATAAAAAATCTCTGACCACAACTACAAAAGGCTATCTTGAATCATCCTCTATCGATGAGCAAGTGGGTATTAAGACAAATTTGCAAGATGGTAATGTTGGTGCAGAATAATCTCAACACATACCTAATGAAAAAAAGAAAAAAAAGAAGAAAAAAAGGCTTACAGAATTTGGATTGCAAACAGAGTGACTTATTTTTCTTGACAAGAGGATCGTATGGTTCCATATATGTTGCAAATAATAATGCCGCAACAAAGGTAAAAGCTGAAAATATTGAGCCCTTATGCTAATTATTTTTGTTTGCATTCTTCTTTTCTAGATGGGAGCCGTCATCATTACGACAAGAGGAATCCTGTGGGTGGTTTTGACTGTCATCTCCACCATACTCGTATTCACAGCTGTGATTACACCAAGATGGCTGGTTGGAGCGACAAGAAATAGTGGTGGATATAGAGGTAAAATTGCTGCTGAGTTTACAAAATGGAATGAAAATAGCTTCAAGGAGCACTTTAGAGTTGCAGACAAGCAGGAGTTCGCATTTTTTTAATTTTTTTCTGACATGAAGAATGCCTGGAATCCTTTAAACACTGCAGTTTTCAAGTTTCAAATAGAATGTAAACTACTCCTGAGCTAAGATTCAGTTTACATGATTGGATAATAATTTTTGTGAAAAATAACAATAAACAAATGTTTTCTTGCTAAGCATGAAAAGTGTTTGCCAAATTCAAGTGTCTCATTTCAAAAAAGGAATGCGTGACATTTTATTCAGTGAGTTTCTATTATATTTCTTTTGAGTTGTTGTTTTAGAAATATTTAAAAAATATTCTGGGCAAAGATCCCCAAATTTTCAAAAAAATCTCATGTAAAGAAATTTTAAAAGTTCATTTTTTATTCCTTTTCCTAATTTTTAAACAATTTCTTTGAGCTATCCAACCGATTCAAATACTCAAACATCAATAAGTTTTTTTGATTTTCCAGATGCCTCTATTTCTTATGGTCGCTCAGGCTATGGCACAAATTATGGAGGAAACAGTCCTTATGGCATTCCTTATGGCTCTCAGCTAGGTGATCGCTATAACAATGGTGACCGCTACAACAGTGGTGGTCGGTACGACAGTGGGTACAACAATGGCTGGGGCAGGGATCGCGATGCTGATCGCTACAGCTCACACTACAACAGCATCTACAGCGATTACTATACAGATGATAAGCCATCTGTTGGCCTCTACAACCGTTGCACCTACATTAACAACTTATACAACTGCGCAAGTTTAGCATCTGAGGGTTGGGGCAACAATTCTGGCGTATTCCCTGTTTCATGGAAGGTCTCTCTCTTCTTCTTCATTGTTGGTCTTGGAATTATGTGCATCACGATTGCAATGGCCGTCATGAGCTGCTGTGTCCAACACTGTTTTAAGAAAAGTATTTTCACACTGGCTGGATGGCTTCAAAATGTTGCAGGTAAGTTTTGGTTAAATCGAGACATTCAGAGCTACTTAGATCAGGGTGTCTAGTTTTTTTTCATTTCGGGAAATCCTGCTTTTTCCTGATTTTTGACTGCTAAATCCTGATTTCAAAATTTTTCCAAATCCTGATCAAATCCTGACTTTTTGCGGAGAAAAATTCAAATTTCTGCATAAACCTCTGCGAAAGCATAAAAAAATCCGATCGGACAGTCAACTTTTCTCAAATTCTGATTTCACGACAGATTTTTTCTCAAATACTGATAAAATCGGGATTAAATCCTGATTGACCTCAAATTCTGATAGAATCAGGGAAATCGGGAAAATCCTGATGCTAGACACCCTGTAGATATTCAATGTTGGAATAGTAGGACATCATTTGTTGATGACGAATCCATTCAGAAATTCATGATTCATTAACTTTTTCCAAGGAAGATGACTTTGCAGTCTCCAGACATATAACAGTCAAAACTTCTTAGTTTTCTCCTTGTTAACTGAAAAACTGATTCTGGACTGCTTGATTTAAAATATTAGTGCAAAAAAATGTGGAAATTCCTGCACATATTGAAAATATTTTCACCGATGTGATCATTTACTGTAAGTAAGGGTGATGAATTTGCTAAAAGTCAGAGATATTAGGAGGTAAATTCAAAGTGATGTTGCCATAACAAAAATACCATACCAAAGCAATTAAAGTCAACCACATTTAGCATTATTCATACTTCTATGCAGAAAGGGGAGAGAGACAGAAAAAAAATTGGTTTACATGTCCAATGTTTAAAATGTGTGTAATTCACAACATTTTGAGATCCAACACTGAATTCAGACAATTTTACCTCTCCTGTAATTACTAAAATTTACGGCAATTACATCAGTAACAGCACATGTGTTTCTTTGAAGTTCCGAATTCCCCAAACCCACTCTCAAAACTCCCTGACTGTTCCTATGAACTCCTTGACTTTTCCAAGTTACCATTGCTACCCTGACTTCTTAGATTTTCCAGATCACTTACGTCAGAAACCTAGTCGGTACAATAATTTGCTGATCTCAAAAAATTGCAATCTTTCATTTGAAAAACAATTACATAAATAGCTGAAAATGTGTTGCATTTTCACAGTAGACGGACAGTATCAAGGCAAAAAGGAAAAATGAAACGGAGGGTCATTCTCTTAATACATTTTAATATTTTGCAGGAGTCCTCTTTGTGCTTGGTCTATTAATATACATGTTTGGTTGGGGAACCAAAAGAGTTGAGCGTCTATGCGGCCGTGATTCTGGATCTTTCATGACTGGAGAGTGTTCTTTAGGTAAGATCTAATGTTTAAAGTTTCTTTTCACTTGAATCAATAAGTTTCTTAAACTCTTCAAGGACATTGGAGAGATACTGCTCAATGCAAATGAAAAGTATTTTCCTTGGAGTAAAAATAAATTTCAGGGTACATTTTGAACACTGAAGTTTGCACAGGGTGTCCAGAGATTAATCCATCAAAAGGCAACAAGGTTCGACTGGAGGTCACTCTTGGGTGGTCATTCATTAGCCGTTGCTGCCATACTAGCGTTCTGAACGGAGACATGAAGCAACTGTCCAAGTTAGAGCAGTTTTAGAAAAAATTTACCACTCAGTGATAAAAAAAAAAAAAGTGCTCAGAGAGAAACAATAACAAGATTTGGGCTCGATTTTTGAGGCCAAAATAATATCTATATTGCTGATGAATACAATTATATGATTCAATTGACATGGTCCGTTTCATTTCAGAAATCAGTTTCCTGCTTTTAGAGTGCGAAGAAACCTTTGGATTGCAAAATTGAAGAATGTTTCTACTGATTGCATAAGTGAGAAGAAAAATAAAAATAAATAGATAAGCTATAAAAAGAGAAACTTGGGAAAGATCATGTGGAAGAGACTGCCAGATCCTCTTGATTACCCATCGTTTTGGAATTGCAAAATTTTTTAATCATACATTTTTGTTTTTAGTTATTATGTTAACTCACTTATGTTAACTCACACAATATGTCTCTATTTCTTGATTTTAGGATGGGCATTTTACACAGCCATCATTGGTATTGTGTTGACGTTCATCTCCGGCTGTTTGTCGATGGCAGCACAAAAAGCAACGACAAGTGATCAAGTAAGCAAAAAGATCGAAGAGGGTGAAACTTTGGTCTGTCTCCTGTGAGACTAGAATGCTGAAAGGTAGTGCACAGAGCTTAATATTTTCAAAACAGGAAGAAAGAGTTCTTACCTGAGAGAAGTGGTGTTTCCAGCCTCTTCCAAAATCTCCCAAAGGGCCAACGCTTCCATCGTAAATTGATATAAAATAAGTAGGCTCTGGGCTTTTTTATGGAGAATGTCTGAAATATAAAATAGACAAATTAAAAAATTAAACTTTTTTACAGAGAAAATCTCACGAAGCATTTCTAAAATGAGCCTCAAAGCACACATACATTTGCTTACCGTAGCTTACACAATATTGCACAAACGGTTCTTTCCCGCAAAGCAACTGTGTTGTTTTTTAGTCCTCCAGAGATGAGAAAAGGAAAAAAATAATTTTTACACTAAAACACCTCCCACTAGAAAAAATCTCCAATTTCTAAACTTCCACTTCAAGATTCAGCTTCTCAGGCCAATTACAGTTTTCAAAGGACTACAATTATTCAGGAGAAACGAGTTACAGATACCATGGTCAATTTTCTTCTCAGTACAAATAATTTTGCTTCCGCAACTGTCAAACTTACAAAATGCTTTTAATTTTTTACCATAAATAATTTCAGCAGCATGAGACTTGCTTCTTTTATCTATTACAGCACGCATTAAAGATGGTCCTGTAACTACCTTTTTCTGCTAACAATGGGGTTCAAAAATTATCTCAGCGAGTGATGCAATAGAAATTCGCGTATCTATTCATCTGTTTTTCCTGATGCTTTTTTCCAGCCTCAGTTCCTTCAGAAAATGTGAGAAATTTTGTAAAATAAGTGCATGACATTTCTGTCATCTTCAAAATTGTATTTCAATCAATTTTTCGGGAAGAATAGCTGAAAATTGTTCCTAAGAAGACTAATAAATAAATTTTCCTAGGTGGCCTCTCTAAGCCCTCTTAGAGGTGAAGGAGTTACTGAAGAGCACTCAGATTAATTTTTAAAACACTAAAATGAATGTTCTGAATTAAAAACTAAGCAATTTTTACCTTCAAAATATTAAAGAAATTCATTTAAAAAAGAATCTATGCGTGACGAGAAGTCAGAAATGAATTTAAAAATCCAGTCACATCCTTACAAAATAATGACATTTTTTTAAACAACATCTACTTCACACCTTCTTCAAAAAAGCGAAATTGAAAAAAATTATGAGCTGCCAATTTTTAGAAAGAGGAAGTTACTGAAATATATCACTAGGAGGAAGCACGATGCATGTTGGAGGGGAAAATGCACAGCTAGAAGTGCCACAATAAGCATGCGTGGAAAAATACAAAAGACAACACTTCAAGCTATTTTATGGAGGTTTTTATTTTAGTGTTAAGCAAGCCTGTGAAAATATTGTTATAGTATTAATGGAAAAAAGACAAATGCTTGAAGAGCTTTGATTAAATTACGCATACCTGGAAGTATTTTTCAAATATTTTCCATTAGTACAATTTGAAGTTAAACATACATTTAAATAACACCAGAGAGAGGGCAATATATTCAATGATGAAGACTTACCTAATAAAATCTCATGGAGAGTTTTTGCTTTATTTTTCAGACCTTGCCCGCAGCAAAACCTTACTGAGTCTTTCAGGGACACATCCTTTGCAACAAGCCAGGATTGTTTGCTTTAGCTAAAGGAGTTCATCTGGATCAAATGTTCCGCAGTCAAAAGTACAAATCACTCCTCTCATTCAATGCCTGAACACTGACAGCTCTTCTGAAATTTCAAAGCCTCATCGAAAAACGAACCAAATTAGAAAAATAGAGGGCCACTCCACTTTCAAACTGGTTGCAGAGCCTTCAAAAACACCTGAAAAAAAGAAATAATTTTTTTTTTTTTCAAATACAGATTAAAATCTACATATTCACTGAAAATTCAATAATGATTGATATTGATCTCAGCACAGTGAATCAAGATAAGTTTTTGTACAGATTTCTATTCTATGAGAAGTATTTTCTTTCCAATTTTGTACAGTTAATATTAAACATTTTTTACAGTTAATATTTCTTAAATGCAACGCAGAAATGAGGACAAGTCGGATATTAATCAATTTCACACAGGTATGATCTCAGGTGGACTTTAAAGATAGGTAATTATATTTTCTCTCCTTGGAAAATAATGAATATCAGAGGTAAACTCACTCTGAGTCACAAACATATTGAATGAAAAATAAAACATAGTTGTCTACTATACAATTATGTAGCCTTTCCGATAATGACCAGTCAGATATGAAATTAAAATGTTGTTGAGGGCAGTGAAAATTTTTGATACCGGTAATAATTTTTGGGGAATGAAACATCGATAATATGTATGCCTAACATTGTCACTGGGTCTGGACAAATTTAGAGATGGAACCCTAGAGATGTTTGAAACCAACAAACAAATAAATAACGTTTTTTATGGACGTCATTCACAATATGATGGGGTCCCATGACCCTGAAGGCAAGATCCCACAGATCTTAAATTAGAAGACCAAATCTATGAGGTCAGGCAAATGTCAAATCCTCCCTTACTTATCTGACGTGCATTGACCAAAAATGAATGAGTAATATTTTTTGTACGTAATCAGTATTACACAATGTATATTTTTATAATAGAGTATTTTATAACTTAAAGTGTTAAGCAGTACATAATTATTACATAGTAAAGATAATTTTAGACATGCACAGCTTTTACGAAAAAATGTTACTCGCATAAACTGGCACATTGTTGGAGCAAAGTCTAAATTTAAAAAGGAGAATTTTCAAGTATTGAACAAGCAGCAATATGGAGTGTTTCAAGACATTTTTGAACTTTCCAAAATTCTCACGCAAAAGATTATCTCAAAACAAACATAAAACCCAATATGTTTCATGCTTTAAGACTCACTATAAGTCATCCTCCTGTTTTTCTTGGAATGTTACTATACCTGCTTTTTCCTTCGGGAAGAAGGTAATTATTTTCCATTGTATTATGTTAAATTTAAGACGAAAAACACACTGACAAATGAAGTAATATGATGGCAAGCTGAAACTACATCATTTTACACTAGTCAACTGAACTAAAATAATGAGAATAACTAGGTATGACACATCTTCCACAGAAGTACCTCTCATGAACACTTCTAGGATGCATTGATTCTGCAGTCCATTCTCTATCACTCTCAAAATGAAAATTGTGTTCCTTGTTCTGATCTTCATCAAACACAAAAATAAGAGGACACTAACAGAGTAAACCATTTTCTTCATTAAGGATGATTCAGATTTCTCAAAACATTTTCTTGGTAAGGAACATTAATAACTTTTCAATCTGAGGTGAAAAAACACCCAGTCATGTCATTTCATCTGCTGAGGAAATTCTTAGAGCTCCACTGATTGCATTTACTTAACGGAAAATAGTGCATGAGAAATCTTGGAAAAGGACAGAGAGAAAAGGAGGTAATTATCTATCTGGAAAAATGTGAAAAAAGGGAATTTTTTCGGAAAATGAGTGAATTACAATATTAAAATGTTTCCATCAAAAATTCATTGTGGCCACACTATCCTATGAAGTGGACATGGTGCTTTCCTCTCACAATCAGTTACTTTCTATGTTGGTTGGTTGGATAATAAGCATACTTGATTGTTTAGAAGGGGGTTTAAATTAATTTATTGACTTAGTTAGTAGTTTTAAGAGGGCCATTTGTGAAACCACCTAATAATAAGAGTTCATTATCTATACTTCTTTACTTTTAATTATTTTTTGGGAATTAGTTATAAGCTCGATTGTCAAGTCCATTTGTCCAAAAATTTTGCACCAAATTGCAGGTTGTAAAATAAAGTTACTTTGTTACCAGAAATTAGAGTATTTCAATGTGTTCTCCTTCTCTATTCCTAACATTCATTGTTTGATCATACATCTACTTAGCTGTGAGGTTCAGGGACATTTGAAAAAGATTCATTTTTCAAAAAAAGGATTTTTCTACCATTTGGTAAATGAAGTTTCTAATATGTGACTTGCTTCGAAAAAATTCCCTCTCTTCTAGAATAAAAAAATTGAGGTGTTGGTGCCTCTACACGGAGAACGGAAATAGGGACGCAAAAATTGCAGGATGGATCCTGAGGGGAATCAAAAAGGCTCTGATGAGAAAAAGTTACCTCAATGATCCTGGAGCATCACGTTGAGTAAGGAGCACCTGCTGCAATATATATCCATCTTATTAGTGCTCGGTGGATTTCCCTCTGGGATTTTTATAAACACACTATGACAGTGCGCACATTTCAACATAGTGATAACTCTTCGCAGTCCTGCCATGGCCCTCATTGCCTGCTTCCTATCACTGGAGACAGAAGTGATTCCAAAATGTGAAAATATTTAATTACAAAAACGTTTAGGGAAAAATACGATCAAGAGAAAATGAAAAATCAAGTCGTACAATAGAAATTTCATTTAAATTTGATTTGTGTTCACCAATATACATACATGTCTATGCAGCTCAAAAAATTTAAACTAGACCACTGATTTACCACTTTTGACTAGACAGAGAAAAAGATGTTATTGAAAGTCCTATATTATTTTAGAGCCATGCGAAAGCAAATAAAATGAATTGACATCGCCTCAGTCATGGTCAACACCTCTCACTGTCCTTGAGCTGTCGTTTCCGGTCAAATTATGCAGAAGGAGCAAAATTTTCAAATACCTAGATAGAAGCCTTCAGAATGGTTTGGATTGCCTGGAAAAAGGTTGAGCCTGTAGTGATACTCCCTCTTCCCCTGGTATTGTGGAACAATTTGGCTGTTGCTTTGAGTGTCTTATACTTTGCCATGTAGATGAACTTACTGCACCCACCTTATGTGACCTTAAAGCCAGTGACATTGATCCCCGGTTAGTTACTTCTGGGAATGATAAGAAACAAGATAGTATGCTGAAAATCCCTCGAAACAGCCAGAGGTTTGCTCTGTGCTAACATGTCGTTCCCAGGGATGAGATCTGATTTAAGAAAAAGGAATCAGTGATTCTATGGAGGATTTTAACAATACTTAAACTGTTCCTTTCTGCACTTTTGAATAATAGCTAATAAGTAGATTTATGGGCCTGCATGTTGTAAGTACCCTCTTCATCATCATCATAATATTTCGACGGCGCAAGTCTGCAGTCACATTTCTCATTTGCGGTGTCTGAAAATCTCCGCCTCTATGTTATTTTTTTAAAGGAGAACAAGTTGACATCATTCCTTGAAGTTTCTGCAGAATTTTCTTTGCACAGAGAGGAAAAATCACAGCAGTTTTAAAGAATTGCTGGTGAGTAGTTTTCCGTTTAAAAAATAAAGTGTGACAGGAAGTCTGCGACGTCGGAGACCAAGTTATGTGATTGCCGACTTACACCATCGATTTCCTGTGCTATGCTAAATTTTTCACGAATGCGTTATTTTAAGTTAGATAAATATCATGAGATAGATGATTGCCCTGTGTGTTACATTGTATTTTTTGCAGTGCAATAGCCATTTGCCTTCTGGACCAAATTGATTTCTCTTCTCCTAACTTAGATGGTGATCAATAAATATGTAAAATGAAAAATGACAGCTGTGACCCAAGAAAGAGTTGCGAGATGGTAGGATGTCGGAGGTAAAATAGACCAAGTTCATCAGAAAGGAGCTAACCCACATTTTCGAAAAAATTAAGTTAAGAATGTTCTTGAGTTCCACTAGTCGTTTATTCTCTCCTGACAAAACCTGAAAGTCGAAAAAAGAAATTAGTTCATGAAAAGCAGAGTTTTAGTTTATTTTCGACATCGAGCCTTATGCAGGAATTCAACTTCAAACCTCATTTTCTCAGTTTCAACTCAATGTGGATTAGCTCCTTTCTGATGAACTCGGTCCAAGTTTGTAAATATTTTATTTCGTTCTGACGATACTTAAGCTCCAGCACCCCACTTGGATCCTGGAACCTTTATCATTCTGGGGTACTGCACAGCTGAGTGTGTAAGGTTCCTGTTAAACCATTTGCATTTGAGGTCAGGAATAATTGAGGAGCTTGGAGGACAAGACACAGAAGTGCAGTTTTCGCTATGTCAAGAGATACATGGATCTTTTCTTTCTGCCTTTAGGGCAGAAAGAAAGTTCAAACCGACTTTATGATGCTTAGAAAATTGGACTTTGGGAGCGAATTTTTCACAGAAGTTGCATTGAGACTAGTTTTACTTGAAGTCATTGATAAGTATATATCTCAGTTTGTCAAAAACTGCACTTAAGAGCCATGTTCTCCAAGCCCCTCAATTGAACCAGAAGAAAGGCAGGATTTATTTATTTGTGTTATAGTCTTACCATCAAGTAGATTGCTGCCATTAATGGATAAGCTGAGGACCAATCCTTGGAGAGGGATTTCATTAATGAAAATCTTTGATTAAGTACGACCGGGAAAAATGACGGAATTGAAATTGACCAGACACCGAAGTATAGCAAAAAATCCGAAGTGACACTTCTTGATAACCAAGAAGTCTGAAGTTACCAAGAGCAAAATACTTTCTCACCATCTAAACTACAAGGCTGGCAGAATAAGCATGCATGAAATGAGATGAAAACTTGAAAATTACATGATGAAAAACCCAAATTCCTGAAAAAGATACTGTTATGAATGAATCACGAACACGAACAGGAACACATGTTCCGCCCGCATTCGGTCGGACTTTTGTTGTTTACGTCCGGAAAATGCCGATTGTTGCCGAACGCAACTTTACAATGTTGTCGTCTCGTTTAGGGTATTATTTATTAAGATACTTACACCGGTTTTTTCCAGAAATATACCTTGTTACCAAGACTTTTTATTTAGAAGTTCGTCATTTTTAAAGAATTTCAAACTATTAATATTACTGACCATCGGTGTAATGCACTAATTTCGAAAAAATATAACAATTTTTCCGAATCAGACAACATTGACAAAATTGTGTCTTCATCGTAAACAATCGATCAGCTGTTCATCTCATGTATTTGTTGTGAATGTGAATGCGAATTCAGGTGTTAGTCGGAGGTTAGTGAAAGTAAAATTTGTGAAAAATTGTTCTTTCAGAACTATTGTAGATTATGTGCTCTAGGAATGTCGCAAATTATCTCGTAGAATCGTCCCTCAAAATGTCGAAATCTGGTTGATGGAACGCATCCTGTGAACTCTACTTCCCCACCTAAAGTGTGCTATTTTCAATCTCTTCCTTCTTTTGGTGAACTTTCACATCATTTAACTGCTACGTGATCGATGGGGCCCGGGCCCTATTGCACGAAGTCTAATATTGGAAAAGTGTTTTATTTATAAATGGACATCAACTTGTAAGAGACACTATGCTCCTCTACACACTGTAAGCGAATATTCCTACATCAGTTTGCAATGAGTCTCCAAAGCATATTCTCCCCAATCTTGGGAGTTATATCAGTTTTTCAGAATGCTCTCTTGCTTACTTTAAATGTCAGCTATGGTGTTGGCCAGTTAATAGTATCTACGATTCTGTTCATTGCAACACAGTTCTACGAACTATGCTCCAATCTTCTGATTGGAATTAAGGTTATGATAGAAGACTTCTGCGTTTTTGCATTTGATGTCTTCAACAAAATCTCATTTTTTTGCTTTAACCTTCAGTGCTTGCTGGACTCTTTATTTTCATGTGCTGTCAGTTGTGCCTTATTTATTCAAAATGCTGCTGTCGGTACGATTGACCATCTTGTCTTCATGGTGCATGCAATAGCGAATTTCATTTCTGGAATTTGCTCCAGCATTACTGCAGGGTTTGAACTATTCAAACAAGCTCTGATTCTGATTGGAACCAGTATTTGGTCCTCCATTTTGTTCATTCCTTACTGCATTTTAGCCCTTATCAACTTTATTCTAACACTGATCACCTGTGGTGTCAACCAGATACATCTGTCCATTCTAGCCGTTACAGACTGTATAGTACTGGCTGCCAGCAATGTCATTAATTTCATAACGGATATTCCTATTGAATCTTACTTAGGCTTAACCTTTGCAATTGTTTCGACTTTTTGTTTTGTGAAGTATCATGTTTTGATCCAAAGTTTAATTGCTTGTTGCTTTCAATCTTCCTATGTTTCCTTCTTAAGACTTGTTTCCAAAATTGCGGTTGGTGTCCAGAGGTTAAAGATTTTCCTCACTGCAGGCAACAGCCAAAATGTACCAGATGAGTTCACAGTTTTCAAATGGATTGAAACATTTCATGAGAGGTACTTTAGTCTATCACTCTTTGCCAAGCAGTATTACGACAATGAAGAACCGTTGTCGAACGAAGAACTTGTGAATCGTTTGGCACGAGAGCAGGAACAGCGCCTCTGTGTTGTTTGTCAAGACAAAGGGAAAAATGTAATTCTAATGCCATGCCGCCATCTATGTCTCTGCCAGTCGTGTTGGGACGTCATCAAGCATCAAGGAAAGAAATGCCCCATTTGCAGACGCTTTGTTCGGAAAGTAATCAGCGTTTTTTCTTAGTGTACAAAGTGCTTTGTTGTCAATTTAAAGACAGGGAAACTGCCGTATCTTGGTCCCAATCTTGACATCATAAACTGAGGGATTTTTCCCCCTTAAGTGTTTCTTGAAATAACTAGGCCTTAGTCAACATGAGATCTAAATTCATTATCCCAACTGTATTTCACTTCCTGCGGTCCTATGGATAGAACCACTCTGTAGTAGTCATATGAAATCCATGTATGATGGAGAGCTTTTTGGAAAATTTTAAAGGAAAGTTTAGATATCAAGGTCTGACTCTGAGACAACCATAAAGACCTCTACTTGACCTTTTGTTGCTTTAAGTTTCTATGAAAGTGTTACGAGATTCCAAACCCTCAAATAATCACTTGATTTCAGAACATTCCTTGAAGTTGTGCCACGATGATTACTGTTGTTCAAGATTCATTTCGCCCAAGGCACGGCAGATTATTCAATGTTATCATTTACATCTGTGTTAATTAATCTATAAGTAAGTGAAGATACTGGATTTTAGACTTGGTAAAGTGTTGATCCCTGTAATATTAGGCAATTAGGACCAGGAAGAGCGCATGAGTTGTTGTAAGCATGATGATTTTTTCAATGAACAGTCCATGGAATTTTTTAATACAAATATACTATCCTCTATTTTCTATGAAGAAAGAACCAATCATGTCCTAATAAAGAATTGTGGCTAAAAATTAATTGATGATTTTTACAAGTCGTTAAAAGTCAGAGGAGGATTGATGAATGTACGGTTTCTTGAAAGAGAAGTGATAAAAGTATTTTTTGTGTTTAAGACATTGAGGGAACAATTCTTTTACCGGTATATTTCTCAGTGATGTATACTGGTGTTTGCCAGATAGCTTTACCAGTGGCGTTTGTGATCTGGGTAGATGAGAAAAAACATGTTTGCCTCATCGACCAGCTCTTTAGTCTTAACAGTGTGTCAGTGCTATTTCTTTAAAGCATCATTTCAGAGGACTCGGAATACACTTGAAGCCAAGCTGAAACACTTGTAACTTCAATACCATTGATTGTGTGGCCGTACTGAAAGTACAAAACCTATTTTATTGTAAAAATCCCTCGTCATGAGCACTTGATGAGAATTTTTGTTTCACACCTTAAAGCACAGTTCTAAACACTGTTACTGCTAGAATCCTAAATTTGGAAATTGTCATCTTAAGTTATATTACAGGTAACCGAGACATGGTGTAGCTTAAAGATAGTATTTGTTTCAGTCATCCAAGTATCATTTGTATTTTATGTATCTTTAGCAAGTGGTAATAATAATGTTGACTTGATTTAATTTTTAGATCAGCTCTTGTCATTGCAAAGGACTACGTACAAAGTACCAAGGAATTCGGCATGAGCTAATTTTTTAAATTATTTGATGTGATGCTCCTAACACCCCCTGACCACAATGAGCTTTCTAAATCAAAATTTCTATGTGTCAAAATTGGGAAAAGGGGGCTGAAAATTGAATATTTTAGCCTTCTTATGGACATGCGTTTCCTGATGAAGGTGTGGAGCTGTCGCTATGTTTGCTTAAACGCTGCACCTTATGGAGAAATTTGATTCTTCTTGTCTTTCTCATCTTCCCAGGCTGTTAAGAAATAATAGCTTTCTTGGATTGTCGATCAGATGTAGGCACATTTCTACAAGATAATGCATGTCAAATTTCTGAAAAGTTCACTTCTTAGCCCTGCTTTCCTTGAGATTGGCATATCGAAAGTTCAATTTTAAGAGCTCATCATATGTTCTGGAGGCTGTAAGGAACAGCATCTCAAATAACATCGAAATTGAGTCGCAAGGTTTGGGAGGGCACTTCTCGGTTACACTGCCGGAGAATCTCTGCCAACGTTTCATCTTTTATGATCAAAACAAATTTAGATAATTTGTTGAAACACTTATTGAAAAATCCTAATAAGTTTACAATTCTCGCAGCGAGAAATGTTAAAAAATTAATGTCTAAGATATAAATTAGCAGAGGAGATTCTAAGACATTGCAACGAAGATGTGTCTTTTCTGCACACAACACATCAATTAAGGCTACTCCGAATTTCTTGGGATTCAGCCGTTGTCCTTCAGCTGAGGAGATTCTGGCCTCTCCTCTTTCCGTGGGTCAAATAAATGAAATTTTTCAAATCCCTCAATACTTAAGTCTAAAATTCAGTTCTTCTCCTTTTTTGTAAAGGAAATTAATATTAGGTAAAGTGTATTGTTTTAAATGAATATCTCAATTCATAAACTTTGGCACAATCCGTTTTAAAAAAACATGAAGATATTCTCAGCACAATTTGAGGAGGAAAATGTGGCAAGTTAAGGTACCGACCAACAGTTTCCTAATTTCTGCTTACAGGCATCCTTAGGTATCAATTGTTATCCATCAATACAAGCGCTTACAGCGTATCTAAATGTGTGTAAAATTATGAATGTACCTATTTAAAATTATGAATGTTAATTAGAGTACTTTAACATAGAGGAGTTAAGACATTTTTGTAAATTGTAGATTCAATCACATTACGGATTAAATCATACCTATGTCCTAACTTACATTTATATCGCAAAATCTATTCTGATAAGAGCCACTGACAAAAAACTAACTCCTTTTACTCTCATGCCAAAGACAAAATAGATTCCTCATAATTTAGAAACTGGATCTATTCCTTAAGCCTTCAAATCTGCAATTGATTTAATGGTACATATTTAGAAAAGCTTGATGACCGAGAAATCTCAACATCGATTTCGTTCACTTATGACAATTTCCAGTTCTCATAAGTTTTTAGGGCCCAGGTTTTTCAAAACAAGTAAAGCTTAACTTGAGGTCTGTTGGATTGAAAGAAAGTTTTAAATTATCTTGGGTCAAAGCCCACGAACGAATAACGAAACATTAGTTTTAAAGCACTTGTTTATCCATGAACTGGATTTACTAAGATTCACGATACCATTTGTCAAACAAATCAGATAATGTTTAGTCCTATTTTTCTATTCTATGAACTCATTCATTGACCCAATCAGTTTCCATTCTGGACAAATCAAAAAGTTTTGTCTCCCCAGCTCTGCTTTTTGTGGCTTCAATGAGGCTTTCGCCTGTTGGAAACTTAACGACCTGATTGATTTATTGTCTAATGAGGCACAGTAATGCCCTGACTATCTGATGCTTCAGTTATCTGATGGTCAAAGTTGAGTTTTGGTTTGAAAATAAGTTACCTAGCTAACACGTCAAAAACCAGTTTTTTAGGCATGAACCACTTACCTATGTGGTTTTTCATGTTTTTTTCAATGATATTACTATGTTATATAAATACAGTAGGAAATTGGCCATGCTTGTGCTTTTTGGTCACAAGCAGAGCCTGAAATGGCATTTTCCAGTCTTATTTTTAGCATGTTGGAGTTTTTAGCGGTTTCGATTTTTCGATATCTGACATGACTCTCACCATAAATTGTCACATAATCGAGGCATTACTGTACTTTGATTTGGACCACTCATTTGTTGCAACTGTGATTCAATTATTTTAATCTACCTATCTTACATATAATTCTTCTTTTCCCCTCGTAACCATTTAACATTTCTGTTGCTCTTTCCTATAAGACATTTTCTCAGCATTTCCTAAATGATTAGTTCCAAAAGTAGGTACCTATTTTTGAAGTTTATATTTTTCATTTTGCTTTTATCTCTTAATAATCATTTTTTCAGCTAACATTCTTAACCTCATCTCTTCTCAAGGAGTTAAATATTCTCAACTTTCTTTTTTGTAAAATTTTTAGTTTTAGGTAAAATATTTCACATATCACTCATCATTTCTATTATTACCAAATTTGTCTCTTTTTTTCAGAAAGAATCTATGAGTTCGCTGTGTTTTGTACCTATAATTTTTGAAAGTTTTGTTCTACTTTTGACTCTCTTGTTTGTGAATTGTATATGTTTTTAATTGAATCTATTTCAATAAAAACCATTCCGTGCTAGTGGCAGCTACCAGCACAGAAATCATTTGGTTCTCTGATAAATGCAAGAGTGTACCCAAAAGTACTGTAATCACCCTGTGGTGAGCTTCGGTTTCAATGTTTATTTCTCTGCAATGAGATGACAAATAATATTTTGTATATTTAAGGCGTTAACCGGCACCAAGAAAATGCTGTACTTTAAAACATTTTATGGCAGTTTTTGTTACTAATTTTGAAACTACTGTACAAAAACAGCAGCATGCGTCACCTGCAGCGACAACTTGCTCTCGATAGGTTGACAATAAATGTAGCTTTTAGTTTAAATACCTAAAAGTAGAAAATGCAATTAAATCCATAGCAATTCACAAATCTCACATCATTCTTAAGTGTGAAAAGTCCCCTGATGCACTTTTTTGCAAGCTGAGGAATTGTTCATCCAAAAATACCAAATTCATTTTTTTATGCCATTAGCTCTCTGTACCTGTAGTTAAAATGACTCATTTTTTGCATCCTATTTTTTGTTACACATTTGAACGTTTTTTTTCTCATTAAACATCAACAAAGTAAAACTTAGCTTGTAGGCTCTTTAACGATGCATCACCAATTAATCGTTATTTCTCTTGTAAATGTTCATGTGGTAGAATTTTATTCGATGGAAAGTTTGATGAATAAAAAGAGACGATGAAAATTGGGCAAACAATTGCACATAGCCGTTCGTTCCATAACATACTATCTGTTGCTCAGAGTGTAGGAGGCTTTAAGGATGTTGTGGTCCTTTGAAGGAAATTCCTACTCATGCCTGATGAATTTGAGAAGTACGAGTGTGAGCAGATCAAGTTAATTCCTTTAGATGCACAAGAGTTTTAGGGCAACAAATTAAGATTGTCAGTTCTCATTTTTTTAAATCTTTGTCGAGTCTCTTTGACTGTCAATTAGCCTTCTTTTTAGAGATTTTTGTTACCTGCTCAGTCTCTTTTCCTCTGTTTTGGGAATACTCAGTGCATTCAATTGATGAGCCAACTATTGGGCCCCTTTGTAAGAGAGGGTATCTTAATGAACAAACCATGAAGATATTGTTGCCGGTGATTAATTTGAATTAAGTATGTATTTTATATTAAATAGGAACAAAATTTTCTTGAGCAGTTCAAAGAAACCCTCCTTGTCAAGTCTTGTTTCGAAATTGTCTAAGTGATCTAAATTCTTAGCCCAAAAGTGAAAGAGATTCTTGCATCTTTCTTAGGGCAGAAAGTCGTTTCACAAATACAGTTTGGAAAATGGGACTTTCAACAGTTCAATGTTTTACTAAAATTAAGCATTAGTTCAGTTGAATTATTTCCTATTCTCACCATTCTCTCCTTAGTTCTGAACCTTGTAATTTGCAAAGAATCTAAAATGAAAGTAAAAAACCACAAGTAAATCCGTGAATGCCCACTCTTGGGTACTCGGATAAGTATCTGATTAATAACTTACATAGGGGCCTTCACCAATCCTGATTTTTGTAAATACATTTAAGGAGAATCTAGTCTTATTTTTTAAATAAAACAATATTTTTTATCTCTGACTTGTTATATGCAGTTTGCATGCACAGAAATACTAGTATCTACGTGAGATGTTGATAGAAGCCACTTCTAGTTTTTACCTGATTATTCGAGAAAATTTTAGGTTTGAATTGTGCGAACAAACGGAAAGCACTTTGCATTAAGTATTTCCAGATCTTGACTTGGATTGGAAAAATATCGTCCTAACACCTTGACTTTGCCTAGTATTTGGTGACTGAATGTCGATTCTATGTATCCTGATCTAAAATTTACCCGCAAATTTTAAAACCTGTAATTTTCCATGACTCTTGTGACTCTCCTCCAAAATATACATTCATTTGTGGCAGTCCATGATGGGGAGGTAACCATGATATTATCCCAATTTTACAATTTTTGTAATCGTAATTTCCCTATTGTGTCAAAGAAAAATTCCCATTTTCATTTGATGGTGATCAGAGATGTAAGCATGCAGATGCATTTTTCAATTTTTTAAAAATGCAGACTTGATCAGTACTAGGACCGAAAGTTACAGCAATTTCACTCATCATTCCATTTTTTATTACATCAGAAAATTTAGACATTTTCAAACCAATGAGTCAAAAATTTACAAAATGACATTTGAAGTCGAAATCCTTTTGAAACAAACTGTCTATAAGGTGGAAAATTCTAGATTTTCTTTTAAAACCCTGCTCAGGTATCAAAGCGTCACTCTTGGAAATAGGATCTTGTCATATTGTTAGCTGTGCAATCTTCACATGTGTGAACCCTTAATCAGATATGGACGGTCAAACTCTCAAAACATGTGTCTCGTTTACAATGTTTTAAAATCTCAGCTCTTATTTTATCTTTCTACAAGTGAAAAAAAATCAACGACATATTCTGTGAAGTTTTGTCGGAATTTCCCTCGCATAGGAAAGAAAATTCTCAGCTGTTTTTAAGAATCGCTATTGATTAGTTTTTCATTTAAAAAACAAAGCATTACAAGAAGTCTGCAACGTTGTAAACCGACATACATGGTTTGAGAGTTTCACCCTTTTTATCTGCATGGGTAGATAGATACCTATCAGTTAAAGTGTATACACAAGCCGATAAAAAGTTCTACTTTCTCGAAAAAGGGCCCATTTTTGCATGAAGATGTAATTGGATTATTCATCTTTGACTGCTCCTCAAGTCATGGTAGATTGTAATGAGCCTGCTTATATTGTAATGAAATGGACGAGTTTTATCTGCTCATGGACTCTGAAACCAATGAGGAGCGAAGAGATAAAATAGGCTAGTTTAAATTAAATAAAAAAGGCTCTTACCACTCAGGAGCTCACGGATTACCATCCTAATATCATCCGCACAACTCCAAATGAAAAATAATGAATAATCCTACGAAGTGAACTGGGTCCGAATTTTGTAGGCAGGTTTGCCGTTGACTGCAAGTTGGAGGAAGTCACAGAAGTCTGTTATTCGATCGCTGAGCCATGGTCTGCGCCTTTGAGAAACTAAGGATACGGCTCAAGGCTGATGTAAGAGAAGATTAACTTGCGTACAATTTGAGTGTAGAATATGATTGTTTTGACTTAGGACTTACAGTTGAATTTAGAAGTTAGGTTTCGCAACTTGTGGTCGACCACAGCTGACAAAATTCAGGCCCTGAGCTCCAAATTCTTGTTTGTCATTATTTTTTTTCTGTCAATTAAAAAGTAACATGTTATGTTGATTCATGTCACTGAGTGATTCAATAAGCTCTCAGCATATCAGTCCGACAGGCTATCTTCACCATTTGTATGGGGAGTATTTCCCGACCGTAGAATAGGTTTTCCTTTCACTGTAAGGTGTAGAAGTCCCTCTTTCTTTCAACCGATGAACTAATTCCTTTGTCTCTCTTCAGCCGTATTTGAAGTCTGACTAAAAAACTCTGTGTTCATGTTTTTTCTGCATTGTGATAATTCCTAATAATGCTTTAATGCTAATTCTCATTGTTGTAAATATTTGTGTACTGTAATTAATATAAATTGTAAGTCAAAATATGCTGACACTAAAAATAAACTATTTTTTAAAAAATTCAGGTCTGGTTTTCTGTCCCTCTTTTTGAACTTTTAATCTGCCAGGACAAGTTAGAACAACACCGTACAAAAAGAACTGACACAAAGCGCTGACTGATCCTACGAGATCATGATTTTCAAGTAATATTTAGTGAAATTCGGTGCTCTAGCATGAATTTTAGAGACTGTTCTGGATGTTTTAACGTTCATACTTTTGCAGTTTGAGTTTCCGATGATGAGGCTTTCACTCTACAACGAACAATATTTTCTTAAGGTTGGAATTGCAGTTTTTATCAAAGTTTATTAGGTACTGCTATCTCAGAATTACTTTTCGGCTTGATCTTAATAATTGATTTGTCATATGATCGCCAATTTTATGGTTTGAAGAGTAACTTTTGGTCACTGAAAGAAATTAAAAAATCTGAAATCTAGTTATGGTGCTTTGTCTTCGAACAGTATAGCATGCATCCCTCTGACAGCAAAAATTAAAATGCTCTGAGGCACTGTTTTTAATACTGATTTTGCAGACAGTGGAACATGAAACACGATCTCGGAAGATTATCTCTCCGCTGGAACCACCTTAAAGGGCAGATTATTTGAAGTCATGGAACTCTTCACATATCTATTTTTACACTTTCAATGAGGTTTTCTAGGAGGAAGAGTAAAGAAAGAAAACTTTTTAGTTTCAAATTTGGTGTACTGGAAACGTCAATTTTTTTTTATTTTATGATTTTCCTGGTAAAAATCATAAAAAGTTGACAAATGTCAAATATAGATCAATAGATCAAATGTTTTGCACAATCGCTATGCTTTGAAGAAGTCCTATCAAAATCACTGGATGCTAAAGACTGCCCATGGAACACTAAGAAATTTGATGCCGGATTAATTTCGAAATTTTGATACGATCCAAATGATAGTTCCTTACAAATTTCCTGAATAAGATGAGCTTTTAAAATCGAACTTTCTATGAGCCAATCTAGAGGAAATTGGATTGATACAGAGAATTTTTAGTAGTTTTACACATATTACCGAAAGAAAAATACAGATGGTCCTCTTCTTGCGCTAGCTGGAGAGAAGAGATGGTGCATCAACTCAGTTCTAAACTAAAGGCTCCCTATCTTCAACTCAGCAAAAATGCCATTTCTCTATTTGATATCATGTGTTAAATTGCCGGAAAATACACCTCAAGACCTGGTTTTCCCGAGATTGGCACATGGAAAGTTCGATTATCAAAGTTCTTCTTACTCAGGAGACCACAAGAAACATCATACAAAAAAATCTCGAAATTTAGCCAGTGTCGAATTTCTTGATATTCCATGTGTAGTCTTTTTGCTCATGTTGTATTTATGGATTAGTTGTTTGGAGGGTTTTCTAACATGAGGTACTTGATGCACCTTCAGCTCAACATAGAGAAATCAAGTTATCCCTGTCTTAATAATTACGCCATCCTTACAGATCCATTAAGACCTTGGTACTGCATAAGAAATATGGTGAGCATACAAGAACCTAGAAATTCTTCATAGGAAGAGCAATGGACCATTCACTCTCAGCTGTCTATGACCAACTATGACGGCAGTGAGAAGGGAAAACAAGGATCCTAATTACTGTCAGGTTGACACTAGTGTCACTTTACGGGTCAAACAATTGGACTATGAAGTCTCCTTCCTCTTGAACTCTTTTGGAGCATTCAGCTACAATTTTTGAAGGGGGAGGGGAGCATGTCAGGTTCAAATTGGGTTTCAGAGAAACGATAATTTGATTTTTCTGATAAAAGTTAAGTTCTCACACACCACAGTTGGCTTCTTCAGTCGAGTTAATAATTTGACAGGGTGCGATGCTCCATTACAGGAAGTTACCTCTTACTTCTACTTTTCCCAATAATGCAGCAAATACAATCAATATCGATGTGAATATCATTTTGTTTGTTGTAACTTTAAAATTGAAACTGAAATAAATTGCTTCAACTCACATCTTCAAAAATCAATCTCTTCTAATTTTATGGTATGGCGTCCCATTAGGAACATGACAACAGGAGCAATTCCTTCGAGGGCTTGATCTCCTTTTAAGGTTAAAGGTCCCCTTAAGCTGCTTGCCATCAATTACATACAAAAGCTTTAAGGTTATAGAGGAACCATGAATACGCCTCTCAGACGGAATAACCATAAGTTTAGTGGAGCCCAAAACCACAAAAATTAAACAAATTTTAAAGTGAGATCTGTTCCACTTTAAACTGTTGCATCACTGATGCTCCATTGAAAGCCAGTGGTCACCACTGAGTTCTTAAATAACTTTGCGATACGTTTTACAATGAAAGAAATAATTTACGGTCGTATTCTTTTTTGGTATGAGTTGCACGGTTATCGAGACTCAGTCATTAGGAGTTCACGTCTTGACCTCACTGCTTCGAGCGGTCTCCTTCAGCAGCTTTCTTGTCAAGATGTCTCTTCATCTGCAGATTTGGGGCGAGATCATTCCTAAGAAGAAAAAGAAATAGTAGATAGAGGGAGAGGAAGTTTGAAGTAAAAACCTACACTAGTTGCCTGTTATTACGCATTTTAGCAAATCGACAACATTGTCAAGTGCCTAACAGAAAGAACCTTTGAACTTCCTAATGTCATGACTAATCGGTTGTGCATGAGTTATGATTTCATAACTTCACAAACCATCTCAATTTACATACTTGCCAGCTTCAGTTATAACAGAAACTTCTCAAATAATGTCATTAGTATGAAAAATGACAAGATACCAAGCCTTGTTTGATGCAGGCACTTGACAAGACTAGACTCACTGTCTAGCTTTGGCAGTAGATTGCAACATCACTCTGACTTTTGATGCTTGCAGAGAATGGACGTTTTTGAAAAACTGAGTTTCTTCTCCACAGCCTGCAGGACGAAGATAAGTGTGACTTCCAAAATCTAGGTTGAGTGTCGTTAGCTAAGTTGGCACTTGTTTACTTTCCACAGGCAAGCAAGCGCGCTGCAATCGTCCAATAGAGATTGAGGATTGACTACGCTCACAAGCGGGCTACAGTCAATCTTTGATCGCCATTGGATGATTACATAGAGTTTGCTGGCACGTAGAAAATAAACAAGTGCCAACTTTGCTGATGACACCCATAGTCAACTGTCTGAGCTGATGTGAGTACATGAAAGATCTAAAATTTGGAATTATTCTTTTTTTTAAAAAAAAAGCATATGGATGAACAATTTTGGTTTCTCTGACTGTGTGTGTGCGTATAGTTTCTGCAGATTTCTGTATTCCCTCTATGTATTTGCAGTACATTTTAAATAAAAGTTGAAGCGAGCTTGCTTTAATACATTGGTTAATGCTGCCAACGATGAAACAGGATGCAACCTCAAATGATCAAGCACTTTAGACATGTGAGAGCAATTTGAAGTGCAAGCAATTAGTACACATGGGCAGGAGAATTATACGTTGAATGACCTGATGACTTTCAAAGCAGCAGATGGAATGAAATGAAAAAACAGGAACAAAAAAAGGGACAATGAATTATGTTTACATAATTTATTACAGTTAATCAAGGGTGGAAAAAATTAGGAAGAAAGATGACTGAATTATTAAAACCTATAATTTATCACTTACATCTACAAATCATGGTGAAAATCAGCGATTTCTCCCTTGATCTCACCTGTCATATAAATAACTTAGTGATCAGTAATTATTATACTGCTAAAAAATTAAATGCTAAAGAATTAAAGCTGAACAGAACAAATGAAGAAAAAAAGCAAAGACAGCTATAAACTTGTCAATTGTTAAATATTTAAAATTTGTGACTGGTAACCGATGATAAGCTTTAGTCACGTAATTACAGGGTAAGGCATAGAGTTTGATGGTTTAGGAACTGTCCATGGATTCAGTGATGCACGAAGCAAAATGACAGATTTTCATATAATAGAGAGAGAGAGAGAAAGGTAACAAGCATTTCATAAGAGAAAGTCTAAATTATTTGATGCTTTTCAGAAAGAAAGAAAAAAAAAATTGATTCACCTATATGAAGCTTGTTGTAAAAAAACAGGAAATTAAGGAACCACAAACAAGCAGATTAGAGCACAACTCAACATGAGAATGGTATTCTGGGTGGATATGTACAAATGTGCAATGGATTAAAATGAAAATGATTGAGAGAGCTCATGCTGCGATTTGCCTACAACTAAGGTCATCTTCTGGGACATTGACTACTTGCCTTCCAAGGAACACAAGGATCACTTCTTTAGTTGATGCAGGGAAGAACGGCTGCTCTAAAGCTTTGTTCAAAGAATTTAGACACCCATCCAAATTATAGTTTACTTTGAACTTTTTATCTTCACTCTGAAAAATTAATATGAACATCATGTAGAATTATGAAGTTAAAATGGCAAATAATGTATGAAGCCTGAAAATAGAGGTCAGAATGAGATCCTAGAGACTGATAATAAATGACGTCATAGGTCAAGAGTGCATGTACATTACTGTCGAAAAGTTTTAATTGGATACATTTCCTAGGGGAGAAGTCAATTGGACTACATTTTGCAGCTTGGAACTATAAATTCTAGCCCGGTTTAAAAACAACGTATGTGACATTAGTTTCCCTATGCACATAAGTGTTTTTCCAGAGGAGCCAGAATTTATAGTTCCAAATTGCAAAATGCAATCCAATTGGACAACAGTTTACAATTTGGATTAACAATTTCTGGCTCAGTTTAGAAACAACGTACATACCATTAGTTTCCCTCCGTATGTACATAGGTTTTTACGGATGAGCTAGAAATTGTAGATCTTGATTGCAAAATAAAGTCTGATTCTGCGTCATACTGGTTGTGGAGTGACGGTCACACACAGGAGCGGATCTCAAAAAGATGCGCTGTGATAGACTTGTGTGGATTGGTCTTGCCGACAATGCGTTGCTAAAAAACTTGAGTGTGCAATTGGGCTGTACAAAAAAGTGGAACGTTAAGAGGTTGAATCCATAAAATTTTTATTCCATACGGGCTTTGTGCTGATACTTATCAGTTTAGACTTTCGTGACTGCAGTTTTTTAATGCATCCATGAAAAAGGAACGATAAAATTTAAATATATCGACGGTGTAAGTTGGCAATCACATATCTCGTTTGCGGTGTCTGAAAATCTCCGCCTCTAGGTTATTTTTTTAAGGGAGAACAAAGTGACATCATTCCTTGGAGTTTGTGCAGAATTTTCTTCACACAGAGAAGAAAAATCACGGCAGTTTCAAAGGATTGCCGTTGAGTAGTTTTCCCTTTAAAAAATAAAGTATAACACGAAGTCTGCGACAGGTCAAACCGAGTTATGTGATTGCTTACATCATCGATATGGGAAAAGAGAGAAACTGAATTGCCCGGGAGCAAATCACTAAGTACCTGAAGACTATTGAACTTGAGGAATTTGAGCAGCAGCTAAAGAAATAGTAGTCTGAGGTGAAAATAGGTAAGCTGTTAAGGAACTCCTGGTGAGCTCCAATTTCCAATAAACTTGACAAGAACATTGTAATTAAAAGGTTTCTATAACTTTTTCATTTTCTGACTACTGAACTTATTTTGCTTTTCCCTTATGCCATAGTTTTCAAGTTTCCAAATCCCCTAACTTTCGATTAAAATCTCTATTTAAATGTTTTTTTCTATGATTGCGCTGATTTTTACACTATGCACAAAATCTCCACTTTTGAAGATTCAAAGAAAGAAAGAGGGCACTCAGGTGGATTGCTTTCTACTGAATGGCACCAGCTAAAGTTGCTGCGCTGACATCCTTCTTGGAAAATTCTTTGACTTTTCCAGGTTGTCGTAAATTCCTTAACTTTCCAGTTTTCCAGACCCTGATTTAAGATTGAGAGATCTTATCAGAATTGCTACATTTTTTAATTAATAGATAGTTGATTTAATGACATGTCTTCAAGGGTGGGCTAACCAACATGGCTTGCAAACAATTACTTTTGCCAATTTCGAAAACTCCCAATATATTCGAAAGGAGTTCTTATGTCATTGTGATTTTAAATAAACTACGTTTCAAAAGCTCACTGAACATCAACACAATAGCTTTGACATAAATCAGACACTCTAGGAAAAAAAAGAAAGAAAAAAAAACTCACCTTCAGGAAACCTAAATGAACTAGAATAGAGTTGGTAATTAGTGAGAGCTGGTTATTTTTTGCGCCCCACTCCATTAGGTACTGATACAGCTTTTGAGAACAAGTTAAGGCAGTAGATTTCACTATTGATTCATTATGTACAGAAAGGCTAGCTACTTTCATCAAAGCAGGCAACATGATGTCGAGGAATTTGTCTTCACTTTCTGCCTAAAACAAATACGTACATTTAGAAGAGAAATAAAAATCAACAGGGAAAAGTCAAGAAGTTGTGTGAATGAATCTGTGAGGATGAAACACACTAGCTCAGGTTTTCTTCAATTTTCACTTTTTATGGTTGAAAATTGTATATGGACGAACGCTTTGAAACTAAGAGGGAAATTCCAAAATTGTGATCAGAAAACAATGGCATCTAAAAGCATTTTCTATAACTATTTCATTCACCCACTGTGTAGTTTTCAGTGTTTCCAGAACATTTCCATTTTTCCTAATTGATGTGTTTCCATTCTCACTGATTCAAGTATTGTGTGACACAACCAGCCATTCAACTCAGTTATGGGTACACAAAAAAATGACTTGGAGGGAAATATTTGGATAACACTGGAAATTTTCATGATTTTTGCTGGTCTGACACACAATTTAATTACAATCCTTGAACAAAGATTACCCATTTTTTTAACTGAGGCTGTACACAGATAGCCATTCATGTTGTGACTGTCAATGCATTGTTGAAAGAGAGATCCATCACAATGCTTTTTATTTATCTAAAAATTAATGCTGAGCGAATATTCGAAAATCTCGAAAATTCACGTTCGATTAATTTTTCCAATATTCGATTTGAACTCGAACTTAGAAACCTCGAATAATCAAATTATTCGACCACATTGATAAAATTTTGAATCTCAAAACAAAGACCGAATGACATCCGGCCATAATAATGACGCACTAGTAGGAACTCAATCTGGCACGCAGTTTGAACTACTTGTTTTGAGGTTTGGTAAACAAAGGCCGACAGTCCATTGCCTCATCCAGCGCACGGCACTCGCGTTAATTCAAAATTCGTGCCTGTTGAGTTCCACCTAATATGTCATCAACATGGCATGGTGTACAAATGGGCGTACGTACTAACCTCCATAACTTATCCTCCTCCACCCTGTGTGGCACCCCGGCCTTTACATTGTTACTAGACTGTCTTTGCGAAATCAGCATTGATGTGAAGTAAAACTAAATAAAATGGATTTATGGACAGTAAGCAGCAGTTTTACAGTTTTTTTTCCCCCCGGCAAATCAAAATATATGCAAAACCATTTGATAATTAAATAAATTGATTCATGATTAATTCTTGATCTTTTTATCTATACTAGTAATTTCTTCATGGTTGCCACCGAATTTAGAAAATGAAATTCCCGGACACATTTAGGTTAAATTCCTTGCTAATTGAAGATGTGACGGATAGTTGAGAAGGCATAATTGAAAATAGTTTTCAGGCAAAATTTACTGTTCAAAATCTCAAACCCATTCTAGAACGCAAATGAAGGTGATTTAACAAATTTTCCCTGACATTTCCCTGTTTTCCTTGACTTTTTAAAATTCCCTGACATTTCACGGTTTTCCTTGACTGTGGCAACCCTGTAATCGTCAAAATTTGAATGTTACAAAGGAAAAACTTATTTATTTCGATCAACATAGAGGTTGATTTTAGCCAAAAAATTTGTAAAAACTAAGAAAATTCGATTCGATTCAAATTTGAAACTTTTTCAAAATATTTGATTTAATTTGACAAAAAAAAACCATATTCGCACAGCCCCAGTATAAATTAATCTACTTTCATATAACGAAATTGTCATTTAAGACGCTTTAACATCTAATAAAAGTTGCAAGTGCCATTTGCTCCTCTTGCTTCAGGAAGGATAAATTCTTTGTAAAGTACATATATACTAGGTTATTCAAATCGTACTCACCTCTGCTTCTTTAATAAATAAGTTATGGCTATCAGGACCCAGAGCAGTGAAGTTCTCTGCAGTTGGAGAACAGAGAAAATCTCCTGCTTTGACCTAGAAAAAGAATTTTATAAGAAATTAAAAGAAAAGTAATACAAAAGAAGAAATGTCACAAAGTGTCTCAATTGATGAGGCATTTTATGAATGAATTAACTACCTGCCTACTATCGATCTGACTCGGTGAAAACTTAACCAAATTTTACAGAAATAAACAACCAAGGGAATGGAAGGTACTTGTGTATCCTAAGAGAAATTAGTCAGTGACCATTTGATTGTCCAAAGAAACAAAATAGGTATCATCTATCTGACTTTAATGGGAGAAAAGAAAAAGCGAAAAATCCCTTGGACTTAAAAATTACTGATTCTGAAAACTGTGCGAGTGTGTTCTTTTAAGCACCTGGTGAAGGCATGAGCCAAAATGACCAGTGTAATTTTTCCATACTCACAAGTTTCTTTTTTAATCATTACTATATGGAGTTAATGTGATGTAATCCTTACTTCGCTTCCATCAGGTTTCCCAACATATGATTGTTCAACTTCGGTTGCAGTCGGTTCGCTGTCGCTGGCACTTCCAGCTTCCGAGTTCTCATCTTCATCGTCTTCACCGTCTCCTCCTCCCCCATCTTCCTCTTCATCATCCGTACCTTCATCATCACTAAAAGAGAACAACAGGTAAATGATCTTGGTTACAAAAGAAGCAGAAATAGAGGTAGAGAACAAGAAACCAGTTGACTTGGGTAGCAATTATGTGCAATGTTTAAAGAGAACTTTTCATGAATTTGAGCGAGGAAACTGAAAAACTTTCAATTTTGGCAATTTTGAGCTGCATTGTAGATTCTCACAAAACATGGACTGCAGACACAATTATTGAGAAAGTCCATGCTGATGAGCAACTGAAGAAGATAGAAAGAGTATGCTAACAATGGCTAATAGTAAGCTATAGTGGGGAATAGCAGGTACGTGTTGTTGCCACCATTTTCCATGATACGGAAAAAGTTAGATTACGATGGCTGTAAAAAACGGTTTAGTTCAAACATGTTTCAGAGGACCCTGTAATATGAAGAATTAATTCTCTGCATAGACTACATTTCGTTCTATTATATTAAGCGCATCCTTTCTCATACCAAAAATTAGGAAAATCAACTGCTTACAAGCCAATCCCTCCTATGTTTAATGGGCCAGTTGATTTACGGATCAAGATTCATTTAAAAAGCATGAAAAGGATGAGTTAGCATTTAAAATTTGTTTGTCATTGCATAATCTATGATTGAAAATGGATGCTCTGCTCTCAAAAGGTTGAAGTTGAGTTTTCTTTGATGCTTTAGAAATGTACGTTTAATACAGGTTTTCATCTCATGATATGCTGATTGATAAGTCTTTTTCCAGTGGATAAACATGATAAAGAAGTGAATAAATGAAGACAAACTCTGCGCTTATCCCTTTGAAAATCAACACAACATTTGTCTACTAACTTGGCTCCTACAATAATTGCAATAGGTCCTCATACAGAAGTTACCAGTTTGCATTGCCTCTAGAGCTTCAATCTGAATTTTCGATGATGAAATTAGTTTTGTTCGTTGTAGTTTAAAAGTATGAGCAAAAGCAAATTTAGGTCAGATTAATTATTACAATACACTTAAGTTGTGTACCTGAACAATAATATTAAAAAAAAACTTACGACAGAAAATGTGGACAAACCTCAGCGAAGACAAGAACTCAAAGTGTCCCGACTCCTTGAGTGCATTTGTTATGACTTCAATGCCATTTTCACCAAAATTATTGCTATTCAGATTCAGAGCTTTCAATTTTAATTTGTTACTAACAGCTTTAGCCACTGCTTCTCCTCCCTCTTGACCAATCTCATTGGAGTCCAAAATCAATTCCTGGAAAATGAAAAATCAATAATGAGTTTGAATGGTTGCATGAAAAATGAGTAATACAGTAAAACTTCGATATAACGAATTCTTCGAATTAACAAATTTTTTTTGCGGTCCCGAAAAAATCTCTATCTTTTCAATGTAAAATAAATTCTATGTAACGAATTTCGGTATAACGAATATTTGCTTTTACGAAGGAAATCTTCGGTCCGAGTACGAACTTTACCATGTAAATCGAACTCAATTTAACGAATGCACGGGAATTTTCGCGCGTCCGGCAACACCGCGGGGGAGAAAGCATGCTTGTCTTTACCCGCGTATTGTACGTCGGTGTCGGTGCAAAGTTCATTTTCCAATACGGCGGGATTGGGAATTTCCGAGGCGCACATGTTTCTTCAAATAAACGGGGTGATTAAGGAGATATGTGAACAGTGTCATCAGTATGATTTCAACCCCTGCCGTGGGCTCCTCACTACCGCCGGGCAGTTATACTGATCAAGTGCTAACCGGGTGTTCCCTGCCGATTTTCCGTAACATATCGTCAAAGTTTATGACGGGAGGGGGGGGGGGGNGGGGGGGGGGGGGGTACATGAAACTGGAAAAAACCGAATATTTCAAAACAATTTGTGGCCTAAAATCGGGGTTTCCGCAGTTTTCGACATAACGAATTTTTTCGCCGGTCCCCAGAAATTCGTTAAATCAAAGTTTTACTGAAGATAGAGTGTACAGAAGTATCAGGACTGGCACCACAACTGAAAAATGAATGCAGTTAGGCCGCTGGTTGTAGTTCCACTCGAAAAAGCAACTGATTTTCTATCGTCTAATATTAAGTTGAGCTGTTTAAGAAAGTCAAAACAACACCTTTCTAAAATTAACATTTTAATTCAGCTACTAACGATGCCATAGCAGTTTCCTGACAGATGCACTTTAAGATGGGCTTCATGGGCAGGTATTGCAAAATTGTTTCAAGAAATAGAAAACAGTATTAAGCAGGTGTGCTAAGTAAAACGTTTAGGGAAATTACAAACCTCTAACTGATGAGTGTCTTCCAAGGCATTTGCCAAAAGAATTGCGCCTTTCGTTCTCAGTAAACAATCACCGAAGTTCAGAATTTTCAACTCTTTCAGTTCGAGGAATGCTTTGGCGAGTGCAACAGCTCCTTTCTCTGTGATAGTGTTGTCGTTTAGATTGATGATTCGTAGATTAGGGTTGGCTCGAAAAGCGTCACTTAATGCTGAGATACCCACATGATAGATGCCGTTTTGAGGCATAGCAATTTCTTCGAGAGTTCCAATTGTCTAAAATACAGAAAATCTTATAGTACCAAAGCATATGACTTTATGATGACGAAATTAATTAATTAATACATATGATGCATTACAAGGAATGTCGACCCAAAAATACAAGTTGAGCAAAACAGAAAAATATTCCAATGTGTAAAGAATGCTGATGAGATTCCTGGCGTTGAGCTCAGCTATGTTCATTGGTCAACCTATTGTGGCAAGGTCAGATGAGCTTGTTTGGTTAAAAATCCCGACTGGGTATTTACAGAGCTCATTGTGTATTCTTATACTCTACCACTGAACATAATACTCTTAATATATACTGCTTATTGGATGACATCCCCTTTGGCGGAAGAGAATAAACGGGAATAAATGGCGGGGATTTAACAGAAACCTATGGACCAGAATTCACAAAGAAAAAATAAAATTAAAACTGAGACCATAGCGAAAGTTTGAAAAACATAGAAGAAAAAAGGCCCCAGTTTTATGGAATTTTCCAAGAAACATTATCTTAATGATAACTTTCCCTCCAGTTTTCTTCTTTTAGTTATTATCAAGTTGTTGATTTACTGGAGGATGTTTAAGAAAAATCCTCCAGATATCCGTGTATTTTTCTTTTTCAAAAAAAGAATCAAATTGAATTTGAAATTTGAACTTTACAGCTTCATTTTAACCATATTGATGGGGAGACTCCCATACCAAGTACCTCTGTTTGCGACCTTGCAGACTTCCTGTCGTACTTTATCTTTTAAATGGAAACTACTCAACAATAATTCTTTAAAACTTCAGGGAATTTTTGTTTCTGCGCAAAAAAAAAAAAAAAAAAAAAAAAAAAAAAAAAAAAAAAAAAAAAAAAAAAAAAAAAAAAAAANAAAAAAAAAAAAAAAAAATTCTGTGAAAACTTCATGGAATGATGTTGTTTTGTTCTCCTCTAAAAAAATAAAGTGCGCCCGCGCAGAGGTTTTAAGACATCGCTAACAAAATAAGTGGTTTGGGAATTTTGCTGTCGATGTGTGATGATTGTATAGGAAAATGTCCCAGATAATTGAAAATTAATCATAATGGAAACACGAGTAAAATTGAAGATAAATCAAAATTAATGCAGTTCATGAGTAAAAAAAAAAAAAAAAGGCCCCAGTAGTGAGGAAATGATTATTTATACGGATAATAATTAAGAGAGACTTTTCCTTTTTTTCAAGGGGGAGCCTCTGAATTACCTTGAATACTTCTGCTAGCTTCAGAGCACCCTCATTCTCAATTCTATTCCTTCCAGCGATGAATATTTTTAAAGCAAGAGGTTTACCTTCTGCAGAGCTATTTTTGTGACAGTCAAGTAATGCTTTGGCTAACATCTGCGCAAAAAAAGAACAATTGAATGATGTAAAAACTAAAGAAACGAGAGGTACTGCACTATTTCCTGATCAAAAACCATGCAACGGAGTAATCAATAAAATGGAAATAAAAAAGGGACATAAATATTGATAACTTTGACAAAAAACAAGTGTACAGAAAATGCCCGATCGCTCGATCCTAGGATCGCAGCACACAGTAGGCAATTCAACAAACTGAAGTCTTTCTTTTTTCCCTTGCTCAATGGGCCTGTTGCAAACTTTCGCTAGAGCAAAACTAAGAGTTGTTTCTCTTAGAAAATGCCTCAAAAATCATGATGAGCGCTTTAACAAAGTCTGAAATGCAATCCTAACTTCACAATCTGCTTAAGAAATTTGCGGTTTTTTGAGCTTCCTGCTTCAAAAACAATACTACGGCACAGGTGAACATTTTGTTAGAGGAGTCGTTTCATCGTCGGCGATATTCATCATGACCGACGGCAATCTGCCAAGACACGTGTGAAAGGACGAGATAACACCTGACCAAGATAAGACCAGATAACAATCGGCATGTTTACGTTCATATTTTCCCCGCCCGCTTTGATTGACCTTAAACTCTCCTCGAATTACGCGCAGAGCTGAGGAAGCGTCGGCTACATGTCGGAATATTGCCGACGATGGAGAGACTCCTCTAACAAAATGTTCACCTGTGCCGTATATTGTTCTTAAAGCAGGAAGCTCAAAAAAATGCAAATTTCTTATGCAGATTGTGAAGTAATCTGTGCATTTCAGAGTTTGCCGATGCGCTCATCGTGATTTTTGAGGTATTATCTATAAGAAACAACTCTCATTTTTGCTCAAGCAAAAGTTTGAAACAGGCCCATTCTTTGGAGACGAGTGCGAGTGACACACTTTACCGCTAAATCTGGTATTTTCCCATCAAACCTAACATACGGCTGTGATTGATTGAGACATCTTGGCAGCCTCAGTAGAATAAGTTCATGTTTAATTTTAATTCCGGTTCATATTCCTTTGTTTATGGTCGTGACTGAAAGAGGACCCACAAAAATGTTTTCATTAAACATACCTTAGTGCCCGTAACACCAAGTCCATTATTGTTCAAACGAAGTTCTTGAAGATTATAACAGCATGTAGAGCGGAGAAAATCAGCGAGTCCTTCAACACCAATTGGTCCAAGTGCATTATCACTCAGGTCAAGTTCGACAAGTCTTGCACCAGCTGTTAGCATGCCTCCTCCTAAATGTTTCTGTGAAAAAAAAAAGAATATTGAATTATTGGAATAGCAGGAATGCAGAAAGTTCTAGCTTTTTATGTTCACATTCGCCCACTCGTGAACTTTCTACATTTTCCCCTGAAATTTCTTATCAATTTCTTATGTGTAGATCTTTTCTTTTTTTTCCAGCTTGACAAATGTTAAATACTTGTAAAAAGTCTTATAACATGTTAAAGCGCATGGGAGCCAGTATTAAGTTTTGTACGTACAGATCTATCAAATTAATTTAATTTAATGTTTGTCTTTAAAACAGTTTGAATGATTGCATAGTATGTTTTGTTCAATTTACATCCCTGCAAATCATAAATTTACTGTTCTTGAAGGAAAAACCGCCATTCAATGAATAAATAAAGCTATTCCCTCATAAATCTAAAATTGACTGTCCAGTACTTACCAAAGCTAGAGGAATTTCAGACTTCATTCGGCCGGTGAACATATCTTTCCAAAGAGCTCTTTTGAACTCTTTATGCTTTTCTAGAGCCTTAGCGATGGCTTTGGCGGCATCCACACCAAGGGTATTCCCTTCCATGTTGAAGAATGATAGGTCTTCGCATTGCTCAATTGCGTCAACCACTTCCTTGGCTGTAAACATTCAATAAAAATGAATAATTACTTCTTAATAAATGAGATAGCACTGGGTATAGGCTGAGGAACAGTTGGAGGGCTTTTTTATGTATGCAAGGTACGCAATGGTTCCGGATCTGTGTGGTTCTTGCCAGTTCAACCGGCCTAACCGCAGCCTCACCCCACCTCGAAAGAGCAGTCCAAGCGTTCCACTGGAACGTATGGAAAGCGCCAGTGGAACGGGATAAAAACATGATGCATTCTGTTGCAGTTCGGATAGAAAAAAAGCCCTTAGGTGAAAAATTTAAGAACAAAATGTTGATGTCAATGTCACGGTGGAGAGATAAAGAATGTGGCACCCTTGTTAGCGCATTAGCAAACTTACGTGATACTTGTCTCATCATCAGTTGATTAAAGAGCTGATAGAGGAGAGATGAAATCAGCTTCAATGGCAAAACTACGAATTTTTAGGGGTGCAACTATAAGAGAGGGATCTCAGTGAGCAAAACATGCGTTGCTAGGGGAGGTTAAGTTCCTTCGCAGTTCAGCAGCATTGATCCAATGCAGGATTTTAGGCGGTAAACAAGACAGAATGCGAGAACACTGGCTAGAGAAGACATCCACGAAGGCGAGACTGACAAAACCCGGATAAAATCAAAAGTTTAAGCATGTGAAGGATTGAGCTTACCGTCATCTTCGGTGTCAAGCTTTAGTCCTCTACCGGCAAAACTGATTCCACCTTCAGCGATAGTCGTCTGTTTCAGGAGTTTCTCGAGATCTCCGACGGAATCGTTATTAGACATGATGAAGCGACTAAATTCCAAATTCCTAGTAAATAAAACAACTAAATTCTTCAAGATCGGTACGTGTCTGAGTCTGAAAACACATGCAAAATTTTCACCAGTCAAAAAATGGCGAAAGATACCGAAAACCGCCGAGAACAGCCGTTGGTGAAAATCGGGGGCCGTTGAATAAAACCGTTGAGAAGACGGTTGGCGGGCTTTTTAGGGGCATGCGNTTTTGTCACAGTATAATTCCATTTAATTTTTAAATAAAAACCTACCTAAATAGTCAGTCATAGTTCCGTACAGCGATTAAATTCTGGACTGAACTTTTTAAATTATTTGTGATCCCCAGTAGGAGTGAGAGTTCGAAATCCATGGTTTGAGATATTTTTTACCATCACTGGTAGGTGCGTATTTCCTTTAGAGGGGGAAGGAGGTTGCGCGGTGCACACCCTCATGGAGGCAAGCAATAAAAATTTCACTGGCTGCAATGTACACATATTTGAGAGGCTTGGAGGGTAAGGCGCATCAGAGCAGTTTTTTCTCTTTCGAGAAATACGTGTTTGAATTTTCGAAATTACACGGATCCTTGTGGAGTAAAAAAAATTCAAACTGACTTTTTGATGCGTAAAATTTGGCATTTAGGAGCATGTTTTTCACAGAATATGCATTCAAACTAGTTTTAAGTAGGTACCTATTCAAATCATTACTATCTCAAATTTTTCAAGAACTGCGCTTATGTGTCTTGTCCTCCAAGCCCCTTATTTAATCTTTAAATCAGTAGAACTGACCAAACGGAGAGTTTACATGTGATGGACAACTGGTGCCATCCGCTGACACATGAACCTGCTTAAATTGTCACCCTGTCATGCCTAGCCTAGTTTGAGGCCCCTTATCAGCTAAGGCAGGCCTCAAGCACTTGCTTGCATCCAATTCAGGGTTAGAGTAAATTTTTTTAGAATTAATAAAAGTGATGAGTAAAAATTAATAATTTTTTTGGCACTGAAATCTTGAGACATAAAATATTCCCATAGGGGAGACAGATGATTGGAGCTACCCAACAAATTTTCTATCAAATTCTGAGATTAAGAAGTTTGACAAAAGAAAAATAGCTTTGCATTTTATAGAATATATATATTAATTTTGCTAAATAATATATCTCATCAAATGCTAGAAGAAAGTCTTGCAAAAACCCTTTCTATGAGAACAAGGATTAAAAAAAGACTTAGAAAAAACCATGCATGCTTTTATCTTTTAAGTCAGGTAATGATTTGAATAAAACACAGGAAAAATGAATAGAAAATTAAGTATTATTTCACACTCACAATTAAAAAGTTGATATAAAAATAATATCAGGAGCATAATGCAATTTAAATGCATTGTTACATAACTTAAACTTATCAAAATATCACAAATGTTGGGTTCTTCAGAATACACGAAAACTGAAGCTACGAAAAAGTGGCACAACTATGAATGGGCTGATTGAAAAAGAAAAAAAAATAAGGGGAAAAAGGATCTGATTCTAATTTCAAGTTTGATTAGAATGGCTAAATTTTCCTGAGGTGTCCAAACTTAAAGGTGGTTCTCATTTTAGAATTCTTCACCCTCAGCTTTCTCTTTAGATTTGGAGAAACTTCGAGAATCTTTATGGAACTGCAATGGGACTATTCCTAAATCCCCACAAAACCTATTTTTTGCAACCTGTAAAAAAAGAAAATTCAAACTTTTGAGAATGATAATATACAATACACCAATAGAGAAAAGCTAACGGAAAACTCCAAGAATCATGAGCAAGCAAAGTAAACTTCAGCTTTTCATTTGACAAAAACTACTCAAGATGAAAATCTATGCAAATTGGAGAGTCATACAATGTGGATAAGATAAAACCATGATTATTAGACGTATGTGATTTTGCCAGATTTTGCTACAATGCGACTGCTCATGAGTCCAAGTGGACTACCAAATTGGGCTGAAGTTTAAGAGACAAATTTTTTTGATTGAGCAAAAACGGGCGTGAATAGGCGATGAAATAACAAGGCAAATCTATTAGGCAGAGACCAAGGGAATGCATACTTTATGCCTATTTGAGTTGATATGTTTATTTTAAACTACTTCAGGTGCTACATTGTAATACTGAATTCTGATTTTTGTTTTCCATCTTTTTCCAAATTCACCTTAGCCCACAGTTTAATGAGTCATTTGGCGAGGTCAGGCAAGAAGTTTTTTGCTGAATCTGCAAATGTTGGTGTTTATTTTGTCACATTAAAATTTTATAGGAATACTTCTGGAATGAAGTACTACAAAAAAATTCCATGGAAGCACTTTCAAACTTTTACGTCTTGTATAAACAAAAATGTGAACTTCTAAAGTTCTTACAATACTTCCGACCTCTCTCATTGTCTTGCTCAACTGTACAGCCCTGGCACCAGTCAGGCTCTATGATCCAGATTCAACTATGGAAGCAAAAGTTTAACAAATCTTGCAAAATTCGTCATTCCATGTAAGTTTTCACTTTTGAATTGAAAATATATACTGAAATTTTGAATTAGTAGGCTCCGCACACAAGCAAAGGACATAAAAAAATTCATCACTGATTTTAATGTCGTAAAATTTCTCCTTTAAAGTAGCCTCATTACCGAAAAAGTCAAGTTCGGCAAGTTGTGGCATCAACAAAGAAAATTGATGAAAAGTTCTTACTTATGGCACTCTCAGCATTCTACTCTAGATATTTGATACCACACACCACTCTAACATTGATACATTTCACTTCCTTTTGTTTCACTATAAAATGGACTACATTTTGCACTTTCGAACTACAAGTTCTAGCCCGGTTTAAAAACAACGCAAGTGCCATTAGTTTCCCTTTGCACATCAGTGTTTTTCCAGAAAAGCCAGAATTTATAGTTCCAAATTATAAGATGCAGTCCTAATGAGAGTCTTACAAAAATGTGAAAAAATAAAAAAAAATTGAATAGAAACCAAGTACCTGTAAATACTTATTCAGCTCGGCCGTTTGAGAGTGTTGCTTGTGTTGAATGATGAAAACATTATCTGCTTCTTGAGAGGCTTTTGCACTTCCAAAAATTGAATTGGCTGACAGCTGTTCGCCTTCTCTTTCTTTCCTTGGGTGGATGACTAACGTAACATGGCAGTTTCTCTTAGTTGCAAAGGACCGAAAGGCTGCTATGATCAAATCTTGTCGATAAAACCTATCTATGTACATATTCTCTTTTTCTCCCAAGCCCAACATGAACTGAACATTATCAATGATGACATGTGCAATATCGTAAACATAAGTGACATGTTCAACAGCCTGTAAAAATAGATAAATGGTCTTCATAAATATTCAGAGAATTTTTTTCAAAAAGACTCAAATACAAAATGTTGCCAATAAAACAGCATTAATCAATATCAATAGTTAAATAATAAAAATAACCCTCCAAACTGCCTTAGTTTAAAATTTTCACTATCATTTCTTTTCAGGCATTTTACATGTCGGCTTTTGATGGCTGAAAAGAAATCAGACTAAATTTTGTTAGGTAATGATGGTTGTATCCCTTCACTATAATTCTATGTTACAGTATTGTGGCTTTTCAGGTCAATTAACATTATTTTTTTTCTTTTTTTTTTAGTTCAGTTAGATTTTTTTCTGGTTCTAATTTGTATATAGTCAAGCTTGTTGTCTCAGAAATCAGAGGCATTGATTCTACATGCATTCATCTGCAGATTAAAAAGTTAAATTGCAATTTGCATGATTCATATCTCAACAATAGAAACAGAAAAAATTGATACTTTATTGGCAGGATAGAATCTTGTTGCTAAATAGAGTGATCTAAAAGTCCCGCACTACCGCTAAAACTCTTAGGGTTCTTGCTTCTTTTCAGGGTGGTCTCCTTAAAATTGGGGGGAGGGGGTCCAAAAATCGTTTCCTGTAACCTAGGAGCACTCAAAAAATTTCTAGCCCTGATCTCGCTTTGTTCAAAGGTTAAAGAGGTGATGCCTGGTGCTTGTGGTGTTGGACTTTTGGATCATTCTGTGTAAACTTGGATCTCTTTAATGCTAAGAGCATGGTTACTTACCTCCATGACAACCTGTAAATTTTGCTGACCGTGGAAAGTGAGAAAATACAACGGCAATTTTTCGAATTGATCTGCCCAAAATTCGAAATCTTTCAGGTTTTGTTCTAATGGTAACATACAATACTGCTGTAACATTGTGCGGGCAAGCCTATGATTCTTTATTTCAAAACTTCCCCAAAGGGTGGTAACCTGGAAAAAAAGGAAAGTACGTAAAAATAGCAGTAAGAACTGACTGAGGTAAAATTAGTCAAACATTCACTGCCAAATGAAAAATGTTGTTTTTTTTCCCCCACACATTTTTCATGAGAAAGTAACACCATTTAATAGATCAGTATTTTTTATGGGTTGTATTGGGTGATTCTTGGCCTAGAAAATTAGAAGTATCCTATGCAAGACAAATTAGCTGGCTATATTTGACCAGCTGCCTTGCATTCATACTGCAGAGGCATATTCTATTTGACAAGAAGAATAAAGTATGACGAAGAACTGGATAGGCAAAGTGAAAGAGGTTTCAGTTGGAATACTATTTTTGTGCAAACCTATTCCCAACCTTTTCACATTCATCTCTAAGGATTATGGATTTATTCACTTCCCTCACTGAAAAAACACATAAAATATTATGCTCCACAGTTTCCTCTACAGCATTTGACTTTTTTTTTCTTTCTTTCTTCTTTTTTTTTCAAAACCAATAAGCAACAGAACATTTAATTTTTTTTACTAAAAAAATGAATGTCCTTAACTGTGGTCTGCACAAAAAACAAGATTAAAGTTTTTCTCTCCGTGAAATTTCTTTATAACATTCATGATAAAGGAAAAATGGACCAAGTTCAATAGCAACATACCAAGTTGCATCAAGTATGAACAGAGAAAAAGGGATTTAAAGGTTTATACCTCCGTAAGACTCAAAGTTCAGAACACACTTCAATGACTATTTCTGAGTTCAAATTCTTTTTTTCTACCTCAAATTTTTCATGAGAGCAAAATTAATATCGGTTGAATTCTACAGTAGATGCATACAGCTCATTTTTTTGCTACGATAAAACTTGGTGCCTTTTTAAGAGACTCAGTCCAAATGGAGAAAAAATGAAAGGAACAAAACTCTCAATTTTGATAACTTACGGTCTCCCTATTAGGAGAAAAAAAAAACTTGACTCCTTTCACAATAAAAATCACAAGATTTTAGAGGTCTTGCGATCTTGCCATCCTGCATTGTACACAGTCATTAAAAAAGAAATCAAATCGTGATGATATAGGAAAATAGTAAAACAAATTACATACTCCTTGCATGGCTAAATCCAGTGATAATTCACTCATAAGTGTTGTTTTTCCGCAACCTGTTGGACCAGTTAAGATTGAAAGTTCCCCTCGCCGGTGACCTTTCAGTATGTTGTTCAATCCCGGAAATCGTTTCCATTTTACACCTTGAGTCTATTCGATAGAGAAAGAAAAAACGTTAAGACCAAAATCAACTATGAAATGAAAGCCGTACAAAATAACTTGTACATATGAAATTTTTCTTTTATCTAATTTTCAGAAAGTTCGTAAAAAATGAGAATACCTGTATTTTCCTGTCTTTCATTAAATAAAATTTTACTCAAGAAACGATTTTCAAAGTTGTAAAAAAACCTACTCTAATTCAAAGTGAATAATGTCGGGCTAGCAGATTTCATGACATCACAAGAAGCATTGACTGTCAAGTATTCTACAACCTGCATTGATTCACTTTCCAGTTGCAATGGTGACGAGTGACTTAGTATCCTAACGATGCTTGCAATGTCATTCCTGTTGAGCCGAACATTTTTGCAAGCATCGTCTATGTAAAATCGATCCTCCATGATGTGAATCGTACAGTGGCCATGTTGCATTGGATTCACGGCAGTTGGCATCATGGGTCATCACCCTAAGCTTGGGTGTCTTCAGCTTTGGCCCAATGAGAGATGCTCTTTGCACAACTTCAAGCTTCTGTATTTCATTGAGGAAAGCCATTTTTAGCTTTTCTAAGCTTAAAACCGGGGTTTTTTAAGATCAAGATTTACTTTAATAGCACTTCACTTTTAGATATGTAATTCCTCAATCACGTAACAGAAATACCTGTGTTGAGAGTATGTTTTTAGAAATAAAGCAAAGAAAAGACTCACATTATTTTTGTTTTGCAGTTCTGCCAATAACTCTTCTCGCAGTGATGAAAATGTTGTTACAGAGTCGGGGCAAATTGGCTGAGAACACTTGACTATTTCTGAAAAATTAAGCTCATTCTTGTGAGCAATATGAGGGGCAGGTTGACTTTCAATGGGCCTGCAAAGTTGATCAGCTTTCGTTAAATGTTGATTAGGAAAAATAAGAAATTCAACACCTTGACAACAATTTCTTGCATAGATGTTTGAACTGATTCCTTCAATCTACTTATTCAATCAGTGACATATCTTTAGCTTGATGACAAAGACTTCAGTAACTTTGCATTGAGCTTGATCTTTAGCCATGAGTTTATAAAAAACTAACTTCCGCAAACTCATTGTAGATAGCTCATTTAAAAAGAGACTGTTAAGAGACTTCTTCCAAAATTATAGACGATTTGGAACGCGTATTTTCAGAATTCTTTACTCTAATTGGACATAAGAAGTACAACTGTTCTTGCAAACTTTGGTGACTTCCTTAAAGTATGCATACAACACTTTTGATATCCCAACCATCTAAAAAGACCTTTAGAAAACTGCCTGGGAAAAGTAGCCTGTTGTAAAACTCTAACATATGTATATATAGCTTATGAATGCTTAGAGCAAAGCAACATAGGATCTTTGAAACTGAGAGCAAGAATGCAGAAAAGGTCTGATTTTGCAATCCTAGGATTGTGGAAAACAAGAGGCAAATCTTCAGTCAAGAAGCTGTACTTGCTTGATACTTTAAAAAAAATTGGCAAATGGCATACTGCACTGAGATATAGGGCGTTTTGCCATAATATTGGACAGTTTGGAAATATGACCAGGAAGCAAACGCCCGGCTGCAGCAGACAGTCAGCATTCTGACACTTTTTGCACATCTGACTGAATGATGAGAAAAAATCTGAGAAAAAGGTCCTAAGCAGTTTTAATAATTGAGGAAGAAGGTCTGCGTCTATACACTAAGACCATTTTTTACTAATTAGCATCCACTAAATTAAAATTAAAAGTATGCACCATATTTTGATCTCATATAGAAAAATAAAGTAGCAATACCTGACGAAGTAACATCTTCTCTCATCAAGTTTCTTTGCGAAATTCTTTGCGGAGTCCCAACTGGCTGTGTCATTTCCAAACCATAGCACAATTTTCTTATACTGTTCCAGCAAGGGTAACAGTTCTTGAGGCAAGCTCAGCAGTCCTAGGGATTAAAATTACTTCTTTATAATTTTTGAAAGGATTAAAGTACATACGTTTATTGATGACTGAAGTGGAAAAATGCATTTCTCAGATTACGATGTTGCAAATCTCTTCTGGTCAGATATGGAAAAGAACTTGACTGGAGGAAAGAAACAATTTTTACAGTAAAACATTTCTTTGTAGGATAAAAATTTTGTTTCAGATTAGACACATCATATTCAGAATAGGCTGGCATGCACTTGACGTAATGTAGATAAGAATGTACTTCTTTGGAAAACAGAGATAAATATGGTGAGGAAAACAAAGTTTGCTGGGCAGATTTACAGGCAGAGCTAGACATTTTTGTGGGATGGGTACATAAGAATAGATCACCTCTTGAAAAAGACATGATATTGGCTACTTTTTTGTTTCTCAAGTTTTCTTTTTATTTTAACGTCAGGGTATAGCTACCTTGGCTCCGCTTCTTTTACAATTAGATGGGAAAGGGAAAGAAATTCTTTGACCTGATCAAAAATTATTACCATGAGGAAGGCATATTTTATCGTACGGTAGGCTGTATGCTGACAAAGCCACAAGATCTTTTAGAGAATGCACGATAATCGCTTGTTTTGGGTTGTCAGTCCGTTTTTCATCATCAGGATGCGATAATCGTAGAACACCAGAGCAATTGTTGGAAGGCACGGTAATTTCTGAGTCTTGTAAGTTTAATTCTTTAAAGCCAACAACGCAGTTTTGTGCATTTTTCAGAGGAAAATACAAAGTAGTTTTTTCCGAGTCCACAAGAATACCTAGTTGAGCGATCACATTTTTTGATAGACCCTGTAAAAAAAAATAAAAAAAAGTCAAATATTTGCTTTCCTCAAATGGTTAAGTCCACAAAAAGACTAAAAAAAGTGAAAACATTGCTCTACTTCGTGGAGGTTATGAGAGGAACAATTTCTAAAACTTGGAATCTGAAAATATTCTTAGAGGTCTAAAATTAAGAGACCAAGATCATTAACCTTAATATAGACTTTCTCACTTAGCACAGTCATTGAAGTACACATAAAACAATCCATAATATAAACGGATCGATTCTCCCTTCTAAAATATTAAGTTACACTGTATGTAAAGTAAATAAAAAAGAAAGAGAAGGGCACTCGTCAGGTAGACAAAAACTTTTGATTCATTCTGGATTTTCTAAGATGACAAGTGTTCAAATTAGCAATGCAATGACAACTTAAAATTCTGCTACGAATTTGAATGACGGATACAAAATAAATTGATTCAAAATCAAAATAATCAATTAGGTTGATTGATCAATTTTTTGGTCATTTTATCATGTACCTAGAGCATTATTGGGGAGAAAAACCACCTGTAACACGATTTTTTAAATCAACAATTTTGAGGTAAAAACGGAAATGTTTTCAAAAATTGCACAAAGGGTCAATTATCAGGTGTAAACCGTCACCAAACTTCAATAAGCTACTTTCTCAAAACCATTTTTTCAGCTATAGAGGGCTATTCCATCATAAGCCTTAAATAGGTATAAGAAATTTTTCTTCAGTTGGGATTTGCCGGTTAGGATGAAACTCTTGCATGCCATAGGAATTGGAGATTAATTTGCTTCATCCTACCTAGAGGTTTGGAAAAAACTTGATGATACCACTAGTTTTCACTGAGATGAACTCCCAAACCTTAAAAAAGCTATCATGGTGGAAGCGATTGTTAGGAGAATATCTACAGTAGGAGGGAAGTTCGCCTATACATCCGGTCCAAGTCTCCATGCACCGATAGAAAGCAAATACATTATCAGAGTTGCAATGGCTGTAGCCTTAGACGAGGACTCCTCTCATGGTGTAAATGATATTCTCTAATAAAGCCTTAACTTTCAGAGCTTTTTTTGAGTTTGAGAGTTCAAAACCAGTGGCGCCATTGTGTTTCTTGCAATCTTTGATTCAATGGTTCATGTATGCGCCCACCTAAATCGCAAATCTCAGTGGTATGCGAGAGCTCCTTTATAGGATTTTTAGAAGAGATACACACCTTTAGGTCAAATTTCTCAATGATTTTGCTCCTTTCATCGGGAGGAAGTGATGACAAATTTTGTAATTTTTCACTAAGTTCACGCCACTTTGAATCAGCAGGGTCCTCTTTGATGACATGCTTTGGTTTTGGCAGCTCTCCTTCTCCTTTATTGTTGATTTGATTCTGCAATGTGCTCCACTGGCCAGAAATCCCACAGTTAGAACATTGATAGAATCCTGCAAACACAGATGAGAATTAATTTTTATATGCATTAGATCAAGTTTGTAACCAGGAACTAGTATCTAAAGTCCATGTCCAAAATGATTTTTTTGATTGTCATTTCCTTGCTGCTTTTCGGATATGTGATCATTGAGTGTTGTTGCAACCAGCTTGTGCAAATTTTGACGGTCGCACATACATCCTGAGTGAGTTTGGGATGTTTCTTTTCTACACATTTCTGTTTTACTGAAAATCCAAACTTCCAGTTCCCTTCTTTCTTTATTCACTTTGTTACTTGGTTCTTTGTCCAAGACCAGTATTGTAGGACTCGCATAAACTATGATAGCAGTTACAGTCCAGTTTGTAGGTAGCTGCACTGGTGCCATACCATAGAAACCAAGGATTGACCGAGGGCAACGTTGCTGTATTGCACTAAGACGCAAAACAATTGACTGTAAATAGTCAACAATTAAAATTTAAATTAAGAATAAAATCACTAAAAATTTTAATAGCTCTATTTTTCCTTACTTAATAATTAAGTATACTTGATACTTAATAATTAGGTGAAGAAAGATCAAGTTTTTAAAATTTATAGCAATGGTGTTCTTAATTTAAGTGTACTTTCCTTGTTTCTTAGCCTCATTTTCATTATCATTTTAATTAAAACTTACAAAATACAATTAAAAGCTTCCATAGCTGTTAATAAAGATTGCATTTACAAAATCACAAAAGTTCAACAGTCATAGCCTAGCAAGTAGGTATAATCTTTTCTTGTGTAGTGACATTAGGGGGCCACTTTTTCATGCTTGGTGTCAATGACTTAATTTAAGTTTTGAAAGACTGAAATTCCTTACCCTGCAGACGATCAAAAATTGAAAAGTATCACAGCCTTTAGCTGCTTTCAATAATTATTGTTATTGTGCAGCAGTTATAGTTCCTGTATAATTACAAGGTAACCACCCGATGAAAGTGATGCTACCATAAAATTGTATAAGGTACATTTGCTTGAAAAAACTGGTGTAAAAACAGCCATGACTTGCCTCGTTCAATGAAGGTTCAATACATGCAAGTAATCACTATACTAATTTGAACAGACAAAATGTATCACACAAACCAGTAACTTTGTTGACAAATAATGCTGAGTCTTCTGTGGCACTGGTGCAGAATTTGCAAGAGGTGATGAGACAAGCATAGCCATCCTTAACTCCAAGACCATTCAGCTCTAAGAAGCGTTTCATCTTGGAGACGGACACATTTGGTATATCGTGTGCGTCCACTTCATGGTACAGGCGAACAAAAGAATGGTTGAAGGCACTTACACTGCTGGTATTGTTATCATTATTAAAAATAAAGTTTATTCCATGTTTATTTAAGCTCCGGTCAAAATTAGTTAATCGAGAAGTTTTAAAAACTTTAAACCAAAATTTACTCATCATCATAGTTGCTATGGGCAGTTCTAACCTGTCGATGTCGAATTTCAATGAGAAGCGCTTAGCATGAATTATAAATTGAGAAAAGGGTAGAAATTAAAGATCTACTCCGGGATAGCCACGTGGGGGACATGGTAAGATAATCACTTAAGATAAAAGAGGTACAATGCCTTGATGACAAGAAAAATGACTTACTATTACAAAAACCGAAAACACACGCTTCATTGTTTTGTTATCACTAAATGGGTACCAACCAATTGGGTACCTGCAACTCAATGTTGTCAAGCGCTCAGCGAAAATTTACACTAAATTCAAAACTTGCTTGAGGAGGCTTAGATACTTTTGCTCTGATTATGCTAATATCTACATTTCTTGCTGAAAAAGCTATTCTAACTGAATTAAAATTGACCAAATTACTGTATAAGTGAAAGGAATATAACGATAGTAAATTTTTACACGTTTTTAATTAATTTTTCGCCATAATGAGATGCAGTGATCTTATCATGGTGTTGGCATTTACAAGATGGTTGGCGGCTGCTTGATTGCCAAAACATGCATGAAACACACATTATTGTCACTGAAAACAGTTGTAAAAAAATATTTTCTAGTGCCTTTTGACTATCTCGTTTTCGTTTATTTACATTACAATTAGTTCCATTATCAGAAGCATGCGGCATGACCACATGACTGATTGTGAGAGTCATTGCATGATAGGTTCCTTTTTCACGGTTGTGAGTTCCCTGTTCCAGTTATAAAAAAAATTCAGATCCTGATCGTCTACGTCTAAGCTCTGTGTATCCATCAGATTAAGTTTGCTGTTGCCCCTGAAACTGCTGGAAAATTGGCTGAGATTTTCAATATCAGCTCTTATCAATAGGTAGGTACTTACTTACCTTCCTCGACCACATTTATTCTCGTCAGCCCAAGTATTGTTTAAAAATGTATTCAGGATTGCTCTCTGCTGGTATTCGACAAGAGACGTGAACTCTGAACTGATTATTCGTTCTAGTTGTAATCTACACGAGAGATCAGCTAATTATACGATCATTAGTTTCTAAAATTAATTAACCAGGTAGGTAAGTAGGTACTTCAAGTCCTCCCAGTTAGCAAGATTGAGCTTCGTCATTTGGATCCATTAGCCCGTACAGGAGCTCGCTCCAATACTCGCGTTATCCACAAAATGTAGCAGTAGATTGAAGATGGCATTGCTAAGCGCGCTCCTTACAGTCTCCGTCCACAGTCTCTAGCGGCAGATTGGAGACTGAGTTGATAAGCGCGCTTCTCACGGTGTTCATCCACCGTCTCCAGCGGTTGAACAAAAATGAGTCGAGAACGAGTCCAGGCGAGCGCATCTAGCCGCGTGTGTAGTGCGTTTGGAGTTGCGGAGAAATGCAGGAGTCTGGATGCGCGCGCCGCGCGTCCTTCAACAGGAGAGTTGTTGTTAGTTGTGATTCAGGATTCAGTTGTGATTTGATTAGAGTCGTGAGCGCTTATGGAATTGATTGTAAAGTCCACTTGTTAAAGTAAGTATTTTCCCCATGTTTTTATTGCGTTTTCATTTTCTTTACCGGTGTTTAATTATGCCGCTCGTGCAAGAAACAAAGCCGAAATATTTATCTCTTAGTTATTTCGCTGAGGGACGAAAGTTAGTTTTCCTTTTCAGAGCTAACCTCCCTACCACTTTGTACCATGCTCTGTTTGTTTGAATTCAACATATTTCCTTGCGAAAGTGCAGGACAGCTGATCCTCAGTTGTCCTCCAGACGTTGAACTACTAATGCGGCAAGAACACAATTCAGCTTAATAAGCCAAAATTCTCGTGATTGTAGTCTATTCGAATCTTACTTGGCTAATGCAAGGTACCACTGGCTTATATCTTGTAGACTCGTGTAAGCACTCGAGCAGTGAGCTTGCTTATGAGTTGTCGACGTATATACTTAATCAATGAGTTTCAGACTGCATCTCACTTCTTCTCCGCTAGGTACTTTCATCTGTGCTCAGGGTTGGAATTGTCCTTGTCCATTGTAACCTATCTCGGATGAGATAAGCTGAACTCAATGAGTAATTGATTTTGGTTTCATCCGCTGGGTGGTCCTTGTGAGGTGTGGAGTATTTGTTCACAATAACATACCTCAAGGGGTTGCGGAGTCTCTCAGAAGTCAACGGAAATGAAATGGTGATTTTCACAGAACTTTTATGCGTTAGTTCTGAAGTATTCAATATTTAAATGATAACAATCGCTGATTCGTTTAACAGAGTAAATGTATAAGAACTAAACATAAGTTGGGTTTATTAGGTGTGAAGCTAATGTGTAATGTCATTTTCTTCATCTATTTTTCAGTGGCCTCACTCCAGACGAGCATCTGCACTCAGATTTATTTCCAAGTATTCTGGAATTTCCAAGCGGCTAATATTCTATGATCTGATTGCCCATCCTGTATCTGAGCAATCATTGGTAGAGAGTTAGCAGCAAAATCAAATCACCTCAAAATTCATCATTTAGTGCTTCAAACAACATTGATATCAAGGAAGATTTAGTGTAGGCAACTTAAATAATCATAAACAGTGACTTTCAAAGTTTGATTTGTCCAGATATTAATTTTTTCAAACGAAGAAGAAAAGTGTACTTAAGTTCAGTGTTGGAAATGCCTAAATATCTGAATCAGTAGGTAAAACCAAACTGTTCGGAATTTAAGTTTTAAAGAAGAACTTTATATTTGGTGAGTCTTTTTTTATATAATTTCTTAACGCATACTCTTTCAACACAGAAGGACTTTGATAAACTGTAGAAAGCAGTTTCTTTTGATGCTCATCATGAAACATCATCTCAGCAAGTTTGATGCCCTCTCAAGTCTGAGTTACATATTTGTGCTGTATATTACCTGAAAATTTTGATTTTATGTAGTTCAAAGCCTTGAATATTTTCTGTCATACTTTTTAGTGATCTAGCTGTATTTGTCGGCATCATTTAAGTGGATCTGAATGTCATGATTTATCATTATAACTTATTAAGCTTAAATTAAAGACATTGTGTACCTCCATCCCCCCAAAACTGAGGGTCTCGCAGTCAAAATCTCACGATACTTTACACCGGTGACTAATGAAGAGTTACTGGAGTAAGCGTTATTCGGACTAGATGTGGCGCATCAATCAATACCTTGGTATACATTTTCTACATCAAACTTCATTCATCTTTGCAGGGTTCTCTATGGCAAACATGCTCCCTTTGTGCTACCAGCTACATGTGTCTTTCAGTGTCATTGATTATCCTAGGATGACCAATGACATGTGTCATCCATAATCGTAGGATGACCAATGACATGCGCCGTTTAATGTCATTCATCATCCTAGAATTCCTAACGACATGTTTTAGGATTTTCAATGACATGCATCCTTCGATGTCAGGATTTTCAACAATATATGGAGTTGAATGTCTTTCAATGTCTTTGTGAGGAATGAAGGATATATCCTTGGAACGACATCTGATGATAAAGTGGCAAAAGTTATATTTTCCTTGAGAAAGTGGTGAAGATTCATTGTCAGCTTCGATGAGATTTGATAGAAAGTATTTGCAGCATCCTATTCTGGACGTATGTTGAGGCTCCATCAAATACGGCTAAAGTCATTAATACTGTTCTTTCGTCCGCTTTCCAATTTTATCGATAATAATTCTTACATCTACTTAATAGTGCCGATTCCGAGAGGAGACTCTTATCAACAGGGTTGTAGAAGAATAATAAGTTATCAAAACCAATGTTTTAAGATATGGCTAGTCTCCAGAATTTCTTTTTTTCATACAAATTATGCTTATTACTTGTGCAATGTGTTCCATAAATCAACTTTTTTAATTAATGAAAAAACTGAACTAGGTAATAAAATTTTCTCTTAAATCTCTAGTTTGCCCTAGAGAAAAGATCATCTTGTACATCATCAATGTACATCTTAAATTTAGAAACGAGTCTATTTGGAATGATATAATGGTAATAAAATATCTTTGTTGGTATACATCTGAGTTTTTTTCTTTTCTTCTTTTTTTCTTGACTTTAAATGTTCTCCTTTGTTACATTGTTGAGAATAAATCTAGTTAGCCATAGGGGAAAGAATTATGAGAATTTCTGTTAACGTTCCTGCAATCACATATAATTAGTATTTCAATATAAAAAGTTTTATTAGCGACATATCGAATTCATCCAAGAGGCAATTTGTCTCCTAGAAAAATAGATTTTCGAGGTAATATGGAAAATAACTTTGGTTAATAACTTTGACTTGGTGTTTTGTGTACCTATCGAAAACACTTTGATATAAGTACATTATAAGTATAGGTCTTTACCATAAGTTTTCTTTTAAAAAAATTAAGTTTTCTTTTGGGGTTACTTTTAAAATAATCGGATCCACAGGAAGTACATCTACATCTCTAGAGTGCCTGATTTCTGAAATTTTGAAGCTAAAAAACTGAGGAATAAAGTGAAAAATATACAAGAAAAAATTTCATGGATTGTGAAATTTTTTCAGAGGTATTTTTGACATTTTATTTTTGAGCTTTTTAGCCTCAAAATTTAATTATATTCTCTTGAGATATAGATCTATTTCCTGAAGATCCGATGTTTTGTAAAAGAAATAAAAACCCCGAATAAATTTCATTATCAGTCAGAACTGCCGCTAGGAACGCGCTGCGTGACGCCGCACGTGGGCCGCTTGCGTCAGTGCTACAAAGCCGCTCCGGATGCCGCGAGTAGCGGCGCCTCAGGACTCCGAGTCCGACGAGGGGTATCCACATTCAAACGGGTGAATATCTCTAGCTACACTGCCGCTCCTCTATGTGGATAAGCGATTCCGCTTTGGCACCGTCCACCGCTAGAATCGGCGATGGAGCTCGATCTTGCTAACTGGGCTTTCTCTCATTAAGTAAACTTGCCCCCAACTAGTTTCACTGTGAGGGTCAACAACTTTTTTTTTCAAATTCCAGGTGAATTTCGTGGAATTCCTCATCAATTATCATCAGATACCCATGGATAGTTTCTCATTTTTTTCCGATTGATGTTAGTGCTCATTTTACTTGAAGTTCTCACACAGTCTCCACATATGAGCTTCTCTTGACAGCACTCAGTGTTAGATTGCAGGTGTTTTTGTTTCTATATAGGCAAGAAAAAAGTAGGTGTCTGGTATCTCAGTAAAGTGCAAAAAAGTCCAAGATTGGTCCTACAAATCCTTAATCTGTGATACCCGATGAAAATGTGTTAGGCAAGCATTTTCCACTTGGACACAACACAAGCTCAATAAGTATACACCTCCTCATTTTCAATTTTCCCATGTTTACATGAACACCTTGATTAAGTATTTAGGCTGTGCTTTGCCTGTAACATAATGTGTCTTCGTGTGTTATTTTTCAGCAAGTTTCTGTTTACAAAATGTTTTGGCAACTATGTTCACTCTTTTTAAAAAGCACCTTGCCCTTTCTCCTTTTAGAAAGATAGCAGGGGAGGAAATGAAGGAATAATATATCGATATTGTAAGTCGGCAATCGCATATTTCGGATTGCTACGTTTCAGACTTCCTGTCATACTTTATTTTTTAAACGGAAAACTACTCTATGGCAATTCTTTAAAACTGCTGTGGTTTTTCTTCTCTTTGTGAAAAAATTTCTGCTAAAACTTCAAGGAATGACGTCAATTTGTTCTCCTTTAAAAAACTAACATAGAGGCGGAGATTTTCAGACACCGCAAACTAGATATGTGATTGCGGACTTACGCCGTCGATATACACTTATGGTAAAGCTGCAAAAGACGGATTGCAATGCATCAGATTTCTCCTCTCTTTTGACTTTCTCCAGGAATGATTGATTTTCCTCATTGGACTTTGTCAATTACAAGGAATTTTGTGATTTTTATTCGACTTTTCAAAAATATTTTCCGGAAATGTTTTTCAAAAAATTTCTCGAGTACTTCTACACTCTTCTAAAAAAATGGAATTTAAAGATTAAAATTCTCAAAATCTTCCAAAACTGCAATTACAATACCTTTTTTTAAGAAATTCACTGTTCTATTAAATTTTTGGCCCTACCAGGATTTCTATTTACCTATATTTATGAGCTGCTTTAATTAGCTGACTGCTTAATGCACTACTTTGTCTTTAAAAAAATTTTCACATATTATTGATGGGCCATTCATAAAATATATAAAGCTTGAGGGGGTAGGGGTGGGGCGTTGAGATCGAGCATGATGCAATTTGTATTTATGTGTTAAAGGATAGGAGCCTCTGTCATAAAAGTGATATGAGGGAAAGCAAAAATCTAAAAATTTGCATTGCGTATTTAATGAGCTGCCCCTAATCATAATATTTGTAATGTAATGCTAAAATTGTTTAAAAAAACGTTTATTGTCATGAAGTATTCTGCCTGTACCTATAGTTGTTTGAGATCAGTAAACATTCATTTGTTTCCTTACTGTTTTAGGATGTTCTTCAAAGCGATTCTTGGTGTCCTTTTGGCAATTGGTGGTTATTTTCTCTTCATTGGAGTAAAAAGTGTATTATATCCGGCTGATGTAGTTGCTGCTACGCTCTCAGAAAATGCATGGTGGGGTGCTCGCAGACCAGAATCTATTATAGATGATAAAATTCATCCTTTTACTATCACCACCTTGGCCTCTGTAAGTACAATTAAGAGTTTCACTAAAACTAAATTGGCCAAGGAGACTAGCTGTAGTGCTCAAACAGCAAACATTGGATTAATTTTACTATATTATTTGACTAAAAAAGAGTGCTTTTTGAATTTCAAATTGAGCAGATAAGCCGTGCAATTATAAAAAAAAAAAAAAAAACTGTAAACATTCAATTTGTTAGGTAAGAGTCCTGTCAGTTTTCGGTGAGCTAGGTATCAAAGCAGTTCTGTTAAAAACTAGTAATGACGAGACGATCCTTCCTAATAGTTATGGTAATTTTTGAAGTTGATCCAATGAACTGTTGGGATGTTGGGATGCACATCAGTCTGGCAGAGCTACCTAGCAGATGAACATACTAGGCAAAAATGCTTTGACTTAGAACTAATGCCATTCTGTTAGAGCCAGCTGCTTTGGACAAGAGTGGCCCTGTCAGAAAGTACCAGTATTTTGAAACAAACAGTACTCATAGCTTACTGACAAGGATTTTCCTTGACACTCCCATTTGGAGACATTAATTTTTTTATAACCTTGGGTCGTAAAATTGGAACCCAACTAACAGTGACAAGTCAACTTAATGTTACAGGTCAAAAATGCAGTTAGATTTTGAAACATGTTTGCAGATTTATTGACTGATATCATCCAATCAATCAAGAGTTTTTTTAATCTGTTAGTGCCCTTCTGGGTTTTAAAGTTTTTTTTTTCCCCTCCCCCTCAAAAGCAGGTAGCATTAAACCAAATGCAAGTAATTCAACAACCCTTCATGTAACCACCTTTCTGACAATGACAGCAGCTCAAAAAGTTTGTCACTGAGTATGACCAACTGATTCTGGTAAAAAATTAAAGAATAATGAAGTAAGATCGAGTTGCAGTTTACATAAACTTGTCAGATGTATCTTTAGCTTCCAAAATCTCAATAATTATTGAATACCGGATGATTTTTGTAGAAATGGTAAGATGGGTGCAAATATTTATTAAACGCCCTTTGTATAATACCTTTTTTGTCTGTAGGATTTGGAATACCTGAAGAGTCGGCTGGAAAACACAAAATTTCCCCACGCACCTCTCAAAGAAGTCAACTTTCAGTATGGATTCAATCTTGATTATTTGAAGCTGATAAGGTCGCATTGGTTAAATAATTATGATTGGAATGCACGTCTGAAGTTCTTGAACAGTCTTCCGCATTTTAAAACTACAGTTTCAGGTAAGAGATCTCCAGGATTGTCATGAAATTTGACATATTTTGTGGACTGTGCACACCTAAATCTGACATGCCGAGTAAACTGGTCGTGAAGTAGCCCAACTTTATATTCACTTATCTTTTGTGAGCAGAATATCATTTTAAGAGAACTTAGGTAGCTACACCTTTCATATTTAAAAATTTCTGAGAGCAAGTGTCCACGTAATTCAGCATTTCATAAAAAAAGAACCTGGAACAGATCTAGTTCTATTACTGTGCCAAGTACGAGAAGAATTGTAGAATCGCATAATTTTGATGTCATGTGTCTCATCTTCCTCTGTATGCTGAATTCTTAAAATGGTAGGCTCAATCCAGAGGAGCGAAATACGAAACTCTCAATTCTAACTTGACCAATTTTCCAATCTGATTCTACCCGGAGAAGAATGGTACAGCATTATTTGTAAGGACATCTCTTGAAAACTATGGAGAAAATTTTCAGGCAAAAATGGGGAAAATTCAAAGCTTCTATTTTGGGATTCTAAAAATATCTGGAAAAAAAAATCCTCTCCTCTCCCCCCCCCCCCCCNCATTTTACTCTAAAATTTTGTTCCGATTTGTGCTGTTGTAGGCTTGAACGTCCATTTCATCCACGCCAAACCCAGTCTGAGCTCGACGGCTTCATTGAAAGTTATTCCAATTCTGGTGATTCATGGATGGCCAGGATCCGTAAGAGAGTTCTATGACCTTATTCCGAAGTTAGTGACACCAAGGAAAAGTGTTGACTTTGTATTTGAAGTTGTTGCTCCGTCTCTTCCTGGTTATGGTTTTTCTGAAGCATCTGCAATTCAAGGAATGGCAACTGCCCAAATGGGTGTAATTTTTAAAAAACTAATGCAAAAATTGGGACATGAGACATTTTACATTCATGGTGGAGATTGGGGATCGTTGATTGGCCGAGATATGTCTATCGCCTACCCTCAAAAGTAAGCAAATTTTACTTTACTGAAAGTCCTATTGTTTAATATTCAGGGATCTTACATCTCTTTATTTTCTCATTAAATTGATTTCTATATTTCACTGTGCTTGGGAACGAGGAAGTTGCTGAAACAGGATGACTATCACCTTGATAATAAAATGGTTAGGTTCACTTTCCATCCTCAGAATCTGAGGGTCTGCCACTTTTAGATGTTTAATTGCCACAACAATTTGCTCAAATGAATTTCATTTCAACAATCTAAGAAAGATATGAAAGGAAATCAATAAGTTAACAAGATTAGAGACTTGTTAAATTTGCATCCCGGTCCTTCTGCTGTAGCAATGGATTTTGAGGAAATAGGAATTAATTTTTGGCCTGCTACTGAAGCAAATGTATGCTCCAAAACTCCAGTGGAAACTAGCTTTTAAAAAGTATTTAAAAGTTAGATTTTAAAGTTACATAATTGACTCTGAAGCTTTACATTTGACCAGTGAAAGTGATTAAATTATATTGAATAAGAAAGATTATGCAGGATCTCATCCAGTTTTAAACATTTTGCATTGGATTAGTGTCAATTTTAAACAAAAATATACTGAGTGGGGGTTTGTCAAGTCTGTCATTGTTTTTTTAATACTTTTAGAAGTAATCGGTGAAAAAGAATTTTAATTCAATAATTTTCTACAAGTGCATTTTTTAAATACTTCCTTGTTGCTGGTATTTAAGTCTTAGTTCAAAAGATAAGCATCCATGTGTCCAAGATTGGCTTGTTACCTATAAATAAACCTCTGTATTCCGTGATATTAATTATCTCTAAAGCTTCCTTCTTTTGCCTTCAGAGCATGTAAAACATGTTTTAGCTCATTACACTGCGTTTGGTTTGCATGGGTTTGATCGATTGGACAAGTGCATTGCTATGAAGGGCTTGCTAAAGGACAAAATATTTTATAGTTAAAATGATAAGTAAAATTTGTTTTCATAAAAAATTAGCAAATCTACCAGTTCTCCCATTTTTTTAGTTTAATTTAATAAAATTTCAAGCTGGCATTCTTTTTAAATTTAATATCTGAGTAATTACTGTAGGGATTAATAATGTAAGATGGTACAGGTACAAGATTTTTAGGTATGTTAATTAACGGTCAACAACGGAGCCCATTATTTTCTTAGTGTTTTAGGTTTCCATTCAACAATGTGTGCTTCATCAGATGCTGTGACGCTAGCCGGTATAATGCTCGGTAGTTATTATCCAGAGTTAATTGTGGAAAAAGAAGATGAACCTAGACTGTACCCAGTCTCCAAGTTTCTTCATTGGATTTACATGGAAACTGGCTACATGCATATTCAAGCAACTAAACCAGACACAGTTGGTACGTATGTTTCTTAGATTTGCTGTCTGATGAGAGAGAAAATCATCTGATCAACAGATGAAGGATTGCCGTGTTGCAATGATACATGTTAATTCAACCTTTTTTTGCTTGATGTATTTGATTTTCACTATTACTCCAACTCCTGAATAGATAATCTTGTTGTTTAAAAGGTTTAAATTAATATACTCAGATCAGACATCAGCACAGCAAAGCAGAGGCAATCTTTATCTCATTCAGGAAAAAAAGGTCAATTTACCTCAGATACCTCAAGAGTGAGGTAAAAGATACCTCAGAAGTATAATTTTGAGGTGCTGTAACTATATTTTCTGTGATAGGTGTGAGTTTGTAAAAACACAACCAGCCAATACTTTTGTTTTTCAAAGGTTTGGATTCTGCGAATTGTCATGAGGTGCATCGTTTCTAACTTTTTGAGACGGTTTAGAAAGAGAACCATCCAATACTTATTTGTCCATTTTGTTTATCTCTATTTGAATCTCTCAATTATTTGCGTTTTTAGAAATGAAAGTTGAACGTTTTCCTTCTATACTAGACAATCTCTAGGGATAGATGAGTTACAATAATTGTTTTGGTTGATTGGGTTAGCCAAAGAGAGTTTAGTAAACACATCTGTCACGTGCATATGGACAAGTATACTCCGACAATTCACCTCCAAATAGTCTTTATATTTCTTGGTGATGAAATATTTATTTGTGCAGATGCTAAAAAATTAGTTTCCCTTTCAAACTTTCAGGGACAGCCTTGCTGGATTCCCCCATTGGTTTAGCTGCTTACATTCTTGAGAAATTCTCTTCATGGACAAACGAAGCCTACAGAAACTTACCAGATGGAGGCCTTACAAAGAAATTTACTCTCGATGCTCTGCTCGACAATGTTATGATTTACTGGACAACAGATTCAATTCTGACATCTATGAGGCTTTACAGTGAATACTTCTCAACCAATTACAAAAAACTCAAGTTTGACGCGTAAGTAAATTCAATTTTTCTTGTCTCACCTTTGCTTTACAGGAGAAGCATTAACTTTTTCCAAGGCACTCGCTCATAAAAAATGTGGGTGTTAACCTGTTACCGTTTGTTAAATCATATTCCACAAATCCTTAATCAGCTCTGGTAGGAAATACTTTGTCCTTTACGTTTCAATTACATAAAACTATTGGTTCCCCTCCTTCATCGTTATGAAAGAGTCAAATATGTAGTGAGACCATGAAAAGGTTTGAAGAAACAATCCATTTTCAATCAGAGGGAGATTGTATCAAGAAAAAGAGACTTTTTTGAAAGTTTCGAAGAATGTCCGGGTAAGGGTCATCAAAAGTGTTTCATTAACAGTTCAAATTTTGAACAATTGGGACAAGACTTAAGTTGCGAGAAAATGTGGGCTGCATATTACTGGTGCGATCTTTGCAAGTTGAAAGCTAATATCTACAACAGAATTGAAAGAATTTTCTTGACACTGAAAACAAGCAGTTGGCATAGTTTTTCTTAATTACCCTCAATTGAAACTAGCATTATACATTTGATTACCTTCTATGAACAACAAGTGACTAAGTCCTTTACAGTGAAAGGTTTGACGTCACTAAAAATACATGATTTCAACCCTCAAGTGAAGTAGGATCCCTTAACTTAAAAGAACCTGGTTGCTTTATCTTCCATAAAAGTCTAAAAGCTGTAAATAATTGATCATCATATCCCTTTGGAACGATGTTGTTCATGCCAGAAATTTGATAGAAACTAGGGGGGCGTCACATCAGCATGTGATTATGCTTTCGTAATAACCATCCAATTGCTGCCATGTTCTTTTGAAGCGAAAGCTTAATAAAATTCCTATATTTGATGTATATTGATGGTATCAACAAACAACGATTGTAACACTGGCATGACTTTGCCAAATAATGATTTAGACATTGGTACAGTACGGACAAATAGTGGTGTAAAAATGAATATGTATGGCCCTGACAAATGACGGCTGTGACATTCACACAGGACTGGGACATGATGTCGATCTTTATAATAATTAGAGTGGAGCACATATTCTATATCATGCCACAGCACATTTTAATAGAAGTTTGACTGTGGCTTGTGAAAGTATATTAACTTGAAACTTTAATCACTGCATTTGAAGGTCATTGGTCAACGCAACAATTCCTTATCTTATCATTTATATTTTTAGTGCGCCGGTGAAAGTTCCTACCGTCTGTGCACAGTTTCCTCATGAGTTGGTGTATTCTCCTCCATTCGGTTTGCAGAGCAAGTACAAAAAGCTCGTCAAAATTTCAAAATTCAATGATGGCGGGCATTTTGCTGCTTTTGAACTACCAAATGTTGTTGCAAACGACATTTGGGCATCTATTCCTCTTTTTATCGAGGCGCATCAAAATGCTACGATCAGTTTGAACAAATGAAAGAATTCGCAACGAAAACCTCCCATGAAATCATGCATTTTTTAAAATGCTTGGTGCCTAACTATCCTCAATGCATTTTATTTTGATAGAGGTTGTATGTATTTAATTATTGTATGTTTTTCAAACAAGGTATAACTATCTAAGGTCCAATACTTCTGTAAGAATAAGTATACAATGATCGAGTGATATAAACTTAGAATTAAGAAATATGTAGAACACATGAGTCTGAGAGTAATCCAAAGCCAGAAATACCAAAAATTATAATTTGAATTACAAAATGAACCCAATCGAGTTTCATGGCAAGACTGAGGGAAAGAGAAGAAACAAGAAGTAAGATGGGAAAATAGTGCTGGATCGTGGGTGAAACTAGAAACATTTTCTAGAGGGGGACTAGAAGGGTATCTCATCAAGGAGGGTCTGAAAGGAGGTATACTGAAAGACAGCCCACGCTAGGAGATCTTTGGGAATCCCAGCTCCAAGGGAGGGTGCATGGAGCTGCGCATGTAAACTTGGAAAAATTGAGTCGTCTCAGGAGCAGTTTTAAGCTGTCCTCGCTGAAAAACTGGTTGGACCACTATCTTGAATGAAAGATATGTCTCTCTTTTATCCAGAAATATCCCTCACATTTCTCAGGAGAGGCCATGTAGGTTTTTTTTGGGTGGGACAAGCCTCCCCCTGTCCCCTGTAGTTCCGCTCATGTGCTGGATTCACACTAATTTGAAGGGAAATCAAAGTAAGAAGTGAAATACCAAAAATTAGTTTTAGAGTTATAAAATGAACACTATCAAGTTCAGTGCAAGACTGAAAGGAGAAAAGAAACCAAAAATAGGAGTGTAGAATACTTCACACCAATTTCAATGGAAATAAAATTTAGAAGTACGATAACTTAGTTTTAGAGTTATTCAATGAATTCTATTGAGCTCAGTATAAGACTGAGAGCTAGAGTATTCAGCTCAAGTAGATTAATTGGAAATCTGACACTGACATTCTACTGAGAGACTTGCAGCAGTTTCACTATCATTTCAGGACCTGAGCAAGAAAAATTCAGCCAGAGCCTATGCCTGCACTTACCGGCAGGCTGATCATTGAAATTAATAGACAAAGTGATAGAAAAAAAGACCGTTAGAAAATGGAGCAATTATATTGGTGGGAGCGGGTGGTTGCAATTGGACCAACAAGGTAAGTAGTAGACTTACGGCAACATGAGGGATCCTTTAGTTGGTCCATCATTTTACCTCTTGGTCCATAACAACCACCCATTTCAACAAACTGGATCGCTCCATTTTTCTGTAAACTTCCTTGTCTATAGCTTTGTCTATAAATTTCAATTATCAGTCCACAAACAGCAATAATGTACCATTATGGATTATACATTTTTTTTGGATGAAAATGATTGATTTGATTTTGTGAAGATGGTTAAGTTAAAAGACTCATTTTCCAACTACTCTGATTCCCCAAATGCTGTTCATTATTTTTAAAGTGTGCAAATTACCAATGGAAGTTTTCAGTCTTAATGTGCCTATCAAGAGAGGAGCTTGTTACAGTATAACAATAGTATCTACTTACTTTTCTGTTATATGTGTAATTAGGAAAAATTCATTGCCAGATATTTTGCATAAGCAGGGAAATTATTAATCTTCATAAAATCGCAGAAAAGGATTGAGGATTATTAAAGAAGGGATTTTTCTCAATGTGAAAAAAATCAATGTGATAAAATGTGAAATGGATTACATTTTGCAATAAGGAACCACTATTTCTGGCCCACTTTAGGAACAACATACGTGCCATTGGTTTCCCTTTGCAGATATGTGCTTTTATGAAAAAGCCGGAGATAGTGGTTCCGTATTGCAAAATCTAATCCAAATATGTCTTTGATTGAAATTGTTTTTCAAAGGATTTTAGCTTTATTTTGTAAGCGTTAAAATGTATCTCTAACATCATGTGTAGCAATGAATGCAGGGTCTTCAAAATATTTTGCCGTAATTTGGAACACTCGAAATTAAAGACAATGAAAGTCTCTGTTAATTTTGCCTCAGATACGAGGTTTGTCAGGAAAGTATCCGACCTTGTTGATTATCTCGCCATCAACGGTTGTTAAGAGGTTGGAGCTTGGAATTATCTTTGCACAGACTCTCCTGAGTGCAGGTACTCAGCCGGATTATCACACGTTCAATCAGTTAAGTTGCTGATTATAAGTTGCTATTCTGCTTTGATCATCGGATTTCGTTCTTCCTTAAAAAGAAAAAGTTAAGAAGCTTTGGATGGGAAGAGTTTGTGAAGAAGATCATCGCAGGGAACGAGTCTTGGGTCTATGGGTACGACCCGGAGACAAAAGTGTAATCGTCAGTTTGGATTGCACCCGGGACACCTCGCCCAAGGAAGCCCGGAAGAGTCGCAGCATTGTGGAAACAATATTGACTGTCTCCTTTGATTATGAAGGTGTTGTCCATTATAAGTACGTTCCCCAAGGCTGTACTATCAATAAAGAGAGCTACTGAGAAAGTTGATGTTGCTTAAGGGGCCTGGTCTGCTTTATCGTTGCTCCTCTAACATCTTGTCACAGCTCCATTCCCGTGTGAACCGTGTGACGTATGGAGTTAGGTGCACAGTAAAGCTCATTATTCTCAGCAAACATATTTAGATTATTTAGCTTCCATCTTGCAGAAATTTAGATTAATCGAGAACGCTGTATCAGTCACTGAAGGAATCTTCACCTCTGCTCCACTCAAAACTGTCAAAGTAGCATTGTGTACTGTATTACAAGACTTAGTACGGAATGAAAAATTCTTTTTGCCATAATTTTCGTTTTAAGTAATTTGTGGGACCTTGAGAATCTGATCAAGATTACTGGATTCTACAGTCATCTTACACTCTTATAAGACATTATTTATAAGTAAGACAGTTAAAATAATCAAATCCAAATTAATTCTATTATTTAAATCTCAAACTTAATCTTCATTATTATTTATAAATTTAATATTGCTTTATAGAAATAACAAATAATGTGGATTTTTCGAAGGATCTACATGTATATGTTTGCTACAGTAATTTTAACCATGACTCACTACTTAATTAATAGAAACCATGATAAATGGTACTGCTACCAAGGGCAGAAACTCTCCACCTCTTTGCTCTAATTTTGATGCGCAGCGTATACCCTAAAAATTATTCCTTTGTTTTCCAAAAATTTTGGTTAAACTTCTAAAAACGTAGTAAATTTGTTTTAATTGTTCTTATCTCAGCATTATCTAGAGTTAATGCTATTTAGTTAGTGTTATCAGCTCCTATGATTCTGAATCCGTAGTTTATCTATAAGTTGCACTGAGTAAGACAACCTAAGTAGGTAAGCCATCATTTTTTGTTGATGTTTGTTTTTTGGATGTATCTTTTTATTTTTAGTTTTAGTTACAAAATAAGAACTTACTCATTTTTTTCTCTTTTTTTCATAAGTACCGTGTATTGTCGATTGAACTTTGATGTAAATATACATTTCAAAAGTTTTCAGTTGTATTACCTACTCAAACACTGGACGACAATTGCAGGATATGACAACTTTTATTCTGCCGAGCAACGCAAAAACGCTGTAAACTCCATTTTACATATTTTGGAAACAGTGTATCATAGCAAAAAAACTTGTGTACCCTGGGACAATGTTTTTACAGAATTCTTTCGCAAATACTATCAAGAACTTAACTTGAAAATTTAAGGTGTGTGGGCAAAACGGTTTTTATATCATAAAGTGTTCTGTTCCAAAAAAAACGAGGGAAAATCTTGATGGATTAACAGCGTTCTTGCTTGGCATGGCAGTATTTTGGAAAATATTTTTCCATTTAAAGCACTTTAATGCAATAAAAATTACCAATTTCATAGGTAAATTCGCCTCCATCCTCAGTGCATGGTCACTTGTAACTTATGGCTTACTCTTGGTTTGTACCTTTGAGGTTATTTCGTAATTTGCTGATTTAATTGCTCTCCGGAGACGACCTGTAACTGCACCTAAGTTTTCCGTAGTAGATACTTGATGTTTGCTTCCTCAAAACCTCATAGGTATCAAAATGTGTCTCATTCTTTCAACGACATGAAATAATTTAGGTATTGATGCTAACACTTTCAGGCTTTCTTAACCATGAGGACTACTTATTAGCTTCCAAATGTGCTCAATAGGGGAGAGGGGGAGGGGGGGGAGAAAATACCCTCTTTCCTCTAGAAAAAAAAGTCAAAAAGGATTATATGTAACTCCACTCACGGAACAACTTTCAATTTTCCCTCTTCCGAAGTTTGCTCAATATCTACGAAACACACATTTTATTTTCCTTTAATACATATTTTCTTTCTTCATCAATATAAATGAGAATAATCCATGCACAGTAAGCAAACATTTAAAAATCATGAGTTGAAAAACGCTGACTTCGCGAATTTAAATAATAAAGCCTAACATGGAGTGGAGTGACACGACGTGCTGCCAACACGCAACGCGCACTGGCGCCTACAAACCTTAGGGGATACTTCACGCATTGCGCAATGCTTGAAGTATCCCTGCAGGTTTGTAGGCGCCAATGCGCGTCTCGTGCTGGCCGGCCGGCCGGCCGCCATACCGCACGCTGCAGCGTGCCCCGGTACCCTAAGCAACTATTTCACAACAGAGGTGCTGCACAGTATCGCAAGAAATTGAAGACGCTCCGACATATTAAGAATGACAGGCATCCTTTAAGAGTACGGAGCTTTCCTCGCCAAATAAATCAAGATACTACGGTCCCTGAAGAGAGCGGTCGTCCAGAAACTCACCAAGTCCTAGCCTTCGTACTCAATATCGTTTAGCATGATTTTCGAATTGCATTAGAGAAAAAATAAACTCGATTTAGGCAGAAACATTCTGCCTAAATCGAGTCGATGCAATGTCGATGCATTTTCATGCAACAGGGCATAGTGCATAATTCAGAAAAAATCGAGTGATTACATACTTACTACTAAAAATATGACCGAAAAATGTGTTGTCTGTTACGGCGACAAAACTATTCCAGTTATCGTGAAACCACCTGTCGCGCACTTCGGGTTGGTTGGATTTTAGACGGACTGAAACATCTAACAACCCTTGACGCGCTCAAAAATTGTGGGAGAGCAGGATTTTAACGAAAAAGAGAAGGTCATAAAACCACACAGAAGTTTATTCACGGCCTTGGATGAAAATACAAAGATATGACGGATATTAGAAATTGATCTTGAACTGACATATAAATCCGACTTGCGGTTGAGCGAATGAAAATTGACATGTAGTCGCGCTATGATGGGTAAAACCGAAGTGTCCTTCTCGTCCTAGAAGACGAGCTCTCACGGTAAGATTTAGGCTTCATTGCATCAGCCATCCTGTGCATTGATAAAAAAAAATATTAAATAAATGTGATCATGCGTCTGATTGTATTCAAGCATCGGCTTAAGGCCTGAAAATGCTTGACTTGTAGAAACTAAGAGAGAGACAGAAGAAATTGGAGAGAAAGGGATAGAAGAAACATTCTGTCTCGGGTGAATTTTGAAGAGGCGTTGCGTAACACGCGACACCACCCATATCTTTAAAAACGGTAAAAGCCACACTGGCGACACTACTGTTTCCGTTATCGTGAAACCACCCTCATGCTATAAGTTGGTCAACAATCATCACCAGATAGGAAAAAAGTAGCGTTGATAAAATCAACTTATTCCTTCCGATTATATAACTTATAGATTGTATGTGCGGGATCCATAAAATATATTAGTCTCTGGGATGGCTGTCCGGTCATTGCAAGTCTCCCAAAATATCGTAGCCAAGCTACAAATCATCTTTATGCACGTACAACGCACACCAGTTTGATGCATAATTTGACGTAGCTGGGCGAGTAGTGCAGCAATGTTGTCCCATCTGCAAAAATTCAGACAATTTTCATTGATTCCTATCGGATAACTCGACGCAGTTTCTACCCAATGGCAAGATTCCGTCACAACGAGCCCTGGCGAATCCCCAAACCAGTCGTTTCGTTTGCTCTATGTCCCAGAAAAATAGAGCTCGTGTCGTGTCGAGCGAGAAGTCGATCGATATCGATATGTATCGCATATCGAATGAGTTCGATCGATAACTTTCTATATTTTACCAATGCTATATACCGATCAAGGTCATTCGATATCAGTGGCGTGGCGTGTGTTGCGATGTATCGATTGATCTACCATTTAAACCAATGGAAAAAGATCGATAATCAGGGTGTTCGTAACGAACACCTTAATAATCGATTCTTTACCATAGCTTGAAATGAGGAAATATCGATAAATCGATCATTCACGCCTCGCTACTGTTCGATATCGATTCAAGAATCGAGGCGGTTCAACGCTCGATTCTCAGTTCGATAGGTACCCACGCAGGACCAATTGGTTATCCGCACATTCAAACAGTAACTCCCTCCGCGGCATTCCCGGCAGCCATTAGTGGCAGTAAAAACTCAATTTTATTTTAGTACCCATCAAACTACCCGAGCTCTTATGACAAAGGCAGGAGTGCAAAAGCGCGTAAGGTTGTTTAACAGCCACGGTGTGTTTGGCCGGGTTATCGGAGAGGGGAAATAGCTCAAGCGTTCTCCGAATATGTTTTTTGGCCCGTGAGTCGTTGATGTGCTGATGTTGACTGAGCGCCCATCGAGCGACTTTTACTGCGGAGGGAGGTCGTCGAAAAAGGGTGAAGATCAGAAACAACCAGCGCTATAAGTAATTTTGAAGCTCGCATGAGTGAATGAGGGTTATTTGACCGATATATTTCCGTTCCCGTTAAGAAATGTTGTAGCAATTTGTCGCCGAAATAATGTTTACGAGTGAGGAGCGATGCATCGGTTTTGCTTGTCTCAAAATCGTGAATTGATTGTTACCATCCTGTGAAAAAAACAAGATCGATAAGGTCCGCCGCCAGGTTGAGTTTCCATCCCGATTTCAGGACAGGAAAATCGATGTTTTGCAAAAAAATTTCACAGCTAGTTTTCTCGATTTTTTTATTGCCCGCGCCTGACGGAGAGAATAGAGAATTTGCAGGTGTCTGAAATTTGATGAATTTTGTGTTTAAGTGGGAACTACTGAGTGAACTGAACACGAGGATACTCTTGGTTCGTGAATTGAACAATTATTGGAGAAGAAATAACAAAATGATCTAATCTGCTGAAATACGTGAGTTTAAGTGGGAAATGATGATGCCACATAATTCTACGACTAGTGTAATTGATCTATTCATCGTTATAATTAAAATGTTATCCGTGGATCCTCTATTATTCTGCGAACTGAAGGTGGTCTATATATGTATACCGCTCCCATTCGTATTTTTGTCACACGTTCAAATTTAGGAGAAACGCAGTTATCGATTAATCAAAATGCCCTGGTATATAGTTAAAGACTTCGAGGGTCAATGATCCCTCAGTTCGCACGAAAATCACAAGAGTCCATCCTATCCTATAGTCAGCTTGATTCTACGGACAGTGCGTATAACGCTGTTTGAAGCGAAACGAAGTCAGTGCGCCTTCAATTTTTGCATATGCAACGTGGACTTCCGTTGAGCTGGTTTAGTTGTATCCTGGGCTAAGCTTCAACGCAGTGTCCTTGCGTCGCACTATGGTCCACAGACCCTATTTAACGGAACTTTAGTCAAATTTTAAGGGTGGAAAAAATTAATGTTTGGCACTACAGTTTTATAATACATACTCTCATGGATCGTCACCTAAGTTTTCATCGACTAATAATGATTTATAAGATTGTGATGGACCCTAACAACAGAGCGCGCGACAGGTCTTCATTAGCTGATTGTGAGCCGCATTTGGTGGTGCGTTACAGGGTGTTTATTTTACCGAGTTACGCCTCATCTATGTAAATTTTTGGGCAACATAGATCCACCTGATGGCAAGTGACTTCCTTTTCACCCCGTTTCATTAATTTTGAACCGAAATTTGTATGCTTTTGAACGCTCCAAACATACGCCAAAAAATGCTAGAAAT